GAGGTGTCTTTTAAGATGGAGTCACGAATGCCAATTCTTTTTTGGCTCCCAACATTTTATATATTTTAAAAAATGCATATTAAAAATAAATTTTATATATAAACAAAAATTATATATATATAAGTGTATAAAATTTTATATATTTATATATAATATATTATATATTTTAATATAATATTTTATATTATATATAAATATTAATTTTAAAAATATATATTTTATTGATTTTTTACAGAGAGGGATAGAGAGTTAGAAACATCGATGAGAGAAAATCATCCATCAGCTGCTTTCTGCACGGCCCCCACTGGGGATGTGCCCATAACCAAGGTCCATGCCCTTGACGGGAAACGAACCCAGGACCTTTCAGTCCACAGGCCGATGCTTTAAACGTTGAGCCAAACCGGTTTTGGCTAAATATTAATTTTTAATATATAATATATAATATATTTTAATATATAATATATAATATATAATGCAGTGGGCACGGGGGGGGCGAGGATGGTGCAGACTGGAACCCGTAGTGAAGCTTCCTGCACGCCCCCCACTGGGGATGTGCCCGCAACCAAGGTCCATGCCCTTGACCGGAATCGAACCCGGGACCCTTCTGTCCGCTTAATATATATATTATATTAAGCCCACGACTAGGGCATCTACCCAGACCGGGAATCGAACCCTGATCCCTGGTTCCTAGGTTGATGCTGGACCACCGAGCCATGCCATTCTGGCCCTGCACGGGTGTTTCCAGTGCCCTCACGCTCTGGAAGGTCTGGAAGGTCTGGAAGGCCTGGATGTGAGGAATACATCCCACGACCATCCTCCCAGAGAGGAAATTACCCAGGGGCACCCGCCCCCGCCCCCGCTTGGGGGTGGATGGGCCCCTGCCCTGGGACCAGGGAGCCCGCAGGCCCCGCTCCACGGGTCTCTGGTGCCACCTACAGGCCGTCTGGGGAAATGCATCTCCCTTCCGCTCCCTCCGCCCTTCTCCTGACAGCCTTGAACTTGGCCAGAGGCATCAGAGCCCTGAAGCTGGACGCCTTGGGGGCGGGCGGGCACGGGGCGGGGGGGGGGGGCAAGGATGGTGCAGACTGGAACCCGTAGTGAAGCCTCCTGCACGCCCCTCACCGGGGATGTGCCCGCAACCAAGGTCCATGCCCCTGACAGGAATCGAACCCGGGACCCTTCAGTCCGCAGGCTGACACTCTATCCCCTGAGCCACTGGTTAGGGATATATATATCCTTATATATTAATATATATATATATATATTAATTAATTTATTTATTTTTATTTTTAAAATATATTTTATTGATTTTTTTTTACAGAGGGGAAGAGAGAGGGACAGAGAGTTAGAAACATCGATGAGAGAGAAACATCCATCAGCTGCCTCCTGCATCCCCCACCCCCCACTGGGGATGGTGCCCGCAACCAAGGCACATGCCCTTGACCGGAATCGAACCCGGGACCCTTCAGTCCGCAGGCCCACACTCTATTCACTGAGCCAAACCGGTTTTGGATATATATATATTTAATATGTTTTTTATTGATTTCAGAGAGGAAGGGATAGAAGGATCCGTGATGAGAGAATCACGGATCGGCTGCCTCTTGCATGTCCCACACTGGGAACTGAGCCCAGAACCTGGGCGTGTGCCCTGACCGGGAATCGAACCCTGACCTCCTGGTTAATGGGTCAACTCTCAAACCAGCTGGATTGAGCCTCTTATTCCTTAACCTCCCAAGCAGGTCCGTCCAGTATATATACATTTTATTGATTTTTTACAGAGAGGAAGAGAGAGGGATAGAGCATTAGAAACATCAATGACAGAGATGTATCCATCAGCTGCCTCCTGCACACCCCCCACTGGGTTGCGCCCGCAACCTAGGTACATGCCCTTGACCGGAATCGAACCTGGGACCTTTCAGTTTGCAGGCAGATGCTCTATCCACTGAGCAACACCGGCTAGGGCTGGTAGCAGGGTGTTTGGAGGCCGTGACAGGGTGATGAGCCTGGGAGGCCCTGGGAAAGGCGTTGCTCTTGTCTCTGGTCGTGCTGTCGGCACAGACAGCTGTCCAACCTGCACCCCGGAGCCCAGGGAATCTGAGAGCCTGGAGCAGGAGGGCCGTGTGATTGCCGAGTTCGGCCCGGGAAGTGGGTCTGGGAGTGTCTGTACCTGCAAACGGAACTGCCCCGCCTGAGCCAGCGATCGCTGCCAGGCTGCCCAAAGGAGGAGGGAGCAAGAGTGGGAAGAGAACAAATCGCCCTCACAGGGCCGACATGGCTCAGGGGTAGAGCCTGAACTCAGGAACCAGGAGGTCAGTCAGGGTTCAGTTCTTGGTCAGGACTCATGCCCGGGCTCTGGGCTCCATCCCCAGTAGGGGGCGTGCAGGCGGCAGCCAGTCCATGATTCTCTGTCATGGATGTTTCTCTCTCTCTCCCTCTCCCTTCTTCTCTGAAATGAATCAAGAAATATATATGTGTATATTTTTAAATTTCAACTTAGGGTATAGGAAAGGCTGAAGAAAGAGACGGCTGGTGTTGCTCAGTGGATAGAGCGTCAGCCCACGGACTGAAGGGTCCCGGGTTCGATTCCGGTCAAGGGCATGTAGCTTGGTTGCGGGCACATCCCCAGTAGGGGGTGTGCAAGAGGCAGCTGATCGATGATTCTCTCTCATCGATGCTGCTAACTCTCTATCCCTCCCTCTTCCTCTCTGTAAAAAAAAGAAATAAATAAAATATAAAAAATCAATAGATATATTTTTTTAAAAAGAAGAGACGGCTTTTGAAATGCTGGAACAACATAGCATGGAGGGTGCTATCCCTGGAAATTATTCCACAATCAAGTTTCTGAAACTCTCTCCCTTCCCACTCCCAGTTCATAGTGGTTTCTCTAGTGCCAGGGCCGTGACCTCCCACACACACACACCCCACTCCCGCCAAAAAAAATTTACAACTTTATGTGCAAAAGTACTTTCCTGGGAAGAAAGATCATAGCTTTTGTTAGATGCTCATAGAGCAGGGTATTTCAGAAGTAAATACAAATAGAAGCTTTAAAAAAAAAACATTTTAAAAATGATCTGGCCGGGAACGGTTTGGCTCAGTGGATAGAGGGTCGGCCTACGGACTGAAGGGTCCCGGGTTCGATTCCGGGCGGGGGCATGTACCTTGGTTGCGGGCACATCCCCAGGAAGGAGTGTGTAGGAGGCAGCTGGTCGATGTTTCTCTCTCATCGATGTTTCTGGCTCTCTATTCCTCTCTCTTCCTCTCTGTAAAAAATCAATAAAAATATATTTTAAAAAAATGATCTGATCTCTTTTTAAAATATATTTTCATTCATCTCAGAGAGGAAGGGAGAGGGAGAGAGAGAGACAGAAACATCCATTATGAGAGAGAATCGTGGATCGGCTGCCTCCTGCACACCCTGCTGGGGATAAAGCCCCAAACCCAGGCATTGTGCCCTTGACCAGGAATGGAACTTTGACCTCCTGGTTCATAGGTCGATGCTCAACCGCTGAGCCACGCCCCCAGACCACGTGTGGGGTCCCCAGAATGTGGGGGGGGGGGGGAGAGGGGGCTGTGTCCGAGCTGCGGATGCCAGATCCAGGAGCATCCAGAGTCACATCGGGCGTCAGCATGGCCAAGGCCTCGTCCTGGGTCCTGGGGGTGTGGGTTCGAGGGAGACCCTGGCGTTGGGCGGAGACAGTGAACAAAGGAACGGGGGACAGGTCGCGCGGTGGCAGGTGCGGGAGGGATGCGGGGTGGCGGGGCGGTGGTGGCACTTTGACCCGCATGACCCCGGAGCCGGCCCCGCGGTGGTGGTTGCGCCACGGCCGGCGTGGGGACCCGGGCACAGGCTGCACAGGCCGGAGGGGGATGGACGCGGAGCGAGCCGGGCTGCGGGGAGCGTGACCCGACCGCACCGAGCGGTCGCCGTCACTAGAGGGCGCGACAGAACCCGGCCGAGAGGGGGCGGGCCGCGAGGGCCGCGTGCACGCGTGGGGGCGGGGTTTGGCGCGGGGCGGGGCAAGGCTGCGTAGAAAGACGGGGCGAGGCCTTGCGTCGGGGGCGGGGCGAGGGTGGGCTTCTGCCGACGGAGGGGGCGCGGCTTGAGACGTGGAGGCGGGGCGGGGGCGGGAGGCGGGGCGCGCGGCCTCTGCCAGCGGCGTGACTTGAGACCTGGGTGGGGCCGGAGCTTGCGGAGTGGGCGGGGCGCGCGATGATTGGCCTCTGCTGATGGCGGGGCTTGAGACGTGGGCGGGGCCGGGCTTGCGGCGGGGGCGGGGCGAGCGATGAGCGGCCGCTGCCGGTGGCGTGGGCGGGGCTGAGACATTGGATGGCTGGGCTTATGGAAGGGGGCGGAGTGAGGGCGGGGCGGGCGGCCTCTACCGGCGGCGGGGCGGTGTCGCGTCGCCCTCCTCAGCCGCAGGCTGCCGCCTCCTGCCGGCCGCGTCGGTTACAACGGCCGCTGCCGGGCCGGCCGCCCTCACCCTCTTCCAGCCTCTGCGGGCGTCGTGGCTTGAGCCATGGGAGGGCGGGGCTAGCGGCGGGGGCGGGGCTAGCGGCCTCTGCCGGCAGCGTGGCTTGAGACGTGGGTGGGGCCAGGATGCGGCGGGGGGCGGGGCGCGGGATGAGAGGCCTCCGCTGGTGGCTGGGCGGGACTTGAGGCGTGGGCGGGGCCAAAATGAGTCTGGGCGCGCGATGAACACTGATAGTATGGGCAGGGCTTGATATGTGGGCGGGGCCTGGAGGGGCGGGGCGCGCGATGAGAGGCCACTGCCGGTGGCGTGGGCGGGGCCAGACTTACAGAGTGGGCGGGGCGTGGGCGGGGCGGGCGGCCTCTGCCGGCGGCGGGGCGGTGTCGCGTCGCCCTCCTCAGCCGCGGGCTGCCGCCTCCTGCCGGCCGCGTCGGTTACAAAGGCCGCTACCGGGCCGGCCGCCCTCAACCCTCTTCCGGCCGTGACGGCGGCGGCGGCGCGGGCCGGGCTCCCCGCCGGAGATGAGGGAGGATGTCGGTGTCGGGGCTGAAGGCTGAGCTCAAGTTCCTGGCGTCCATCTTCGACAAGAACCACGAGCGGTTCCGCATCGTCAGCTGGAAGCTGGACGAGCTGCACTGCCAGTTCCTGGTGCGGCCGCCGGGCAGCGCGGCCTCGGCGCTCACGCTGCACTGCAACATCACGGTGCGGGCCGGGCCGGGCCGGGCCGGGGCCGGGGCCGGGGCCGGGGTCGGGGCGGGGGCCGGGCCGGGGCCCGGGGCGGCCGGACAAAGACGCCCGCCGGGGGCCCGGCCGCCGCCGCCCCGCGAGGCGGCGCGGTGGAGGCGCCCAGGCTGGGCCGCCGCCGGTTCGCGGCCGCTTCATGACGGGACCGGGTGCTGAGGGGCCGCTGAGGGGCCGCCGCCGGGCCGGGCGCTGAGGGGCCGCCGCCGGGCCGGGCGCTGAGGGGGCGCGGGCGGCCCGAGGCCGGTGGCCGCCTCCGGGCCTCAGGCCGCGCCGCCCCCGCCGCCTCGGCACGTCCGCGCTCCGGGAGGAGCCGGCCCGGAGCCCGCGGCCGGGGAGGCGGCGGGAGGACGTCCACTTCCGGCCGCAGGCGGGGGGCGGGGGCCCCTCACGCGCACTTGGGGGGACCCGGGGGAGGGGGGGCGACTTTCTCCGTCTCCTCCTGCGAGCCGCCACCACCCGGCTCCCTCCCCGGCTCCCTCCCCTGGACCCGGGGCCGCCGGGAGACGCCGGTTCACCTTTAAATGGTTTTTTTTTTCGTGGGGGGGGGGGCAGGTGCGTGTTTCCGGAAAAACCAGTTCGGGGAGAGGGTGGCTTATGGAGCATCCAGCGTGGGGGCCCGGCTTTGCAGAATGGGGGGGCCGAGCTGCCCCCCTGCTTTCCGAGCCCCCCCCCCGTGTTGTTAGTTTTTTGGGGGGTGGGGGTGGGGTTGGCGGGGAGGGAAGAGGTTTTCCACAGCCAAAGGTGTGACTCAGTGCCATGATATCACCATGAAAGCCCCAGGCAGCGTTCATTCTGGCTTTTTTTGGGGGGAGGGTGCGGGGAGGGGGGTTAGGGGCGCCCCCGAGGAGAGGGGAGCTTGGCGGTGGTGGTTGGGCTTTCACACAGATGAGCCCGAAACCCCCCCCCATCCCCACAGAGAAAATCTATTAAAAAACATAAACAAACACGCCCCCCCAAAAATTTTTTAAAAAAACGCAGCCCGGCCGGTGTGGCGCAGTGGTTGGCTTCCCATCAGCGCACGTGCCTGGATTGCTAAATGTAGGAGGCGGCTCATCTGTGATGCTCATCATTAAAAAAAATATATATATATTTATTTGTTAACATATTTTATTGATTTTTTTTTTTTTTTACAGAGAGAGGAAGAGAGAGTTAGAAATATCGATGAGAATCATCAATCAGCTGCCTCTTGCACACTGCCTACTGGGGATGTGCCCGCAACCAAGGTCCATGCCCTTGACCGGAATCGAACCTGGGAACTTTCAGTCCTCAGGCTGACGCTCTATCCACTGAGCCACACCAGTTTCGGCTTTATTGTTGAAAGTGTTATACATCCCCCCTCCTTTTTTTTTTAAAAGAATTATTTTATTTAATGATTGATTTTTATTTTTGTTTATTTTTAAATGTATCTACTGATTTTAGAGAGGAAGAGAGGAGAGAGAGAGAGAGAAAGAAACATCCACGATGAGAGAGAATCATGGACCAGCTGCCTCCTGCACGTCCCCTACTGGGGATTGAACCCATAAGCCGGGCATGTGCCCTGACCCAAATCAAACCTGGGACCCTTCAGTCCTTGGCCTCCTGGTTCATAGGTTGACGTTCAACCTTTGAGCCACTGCGGCTGGGCCGTTGATTTCTTGTGTGTGCCCGGACTAGGGGTCGAACCCACAACCTTGATATATGGGGAGGACACGCTAACCCAGTGGTCGGCAAACTCATTAGTCAACAGAGCCACATATCAACAGCACAACGATTGAAATTTCTTTTGAGAGCCACATTTTTTAAACTTCTTCAAAATAGACTCGCCCAGGCTGTGGTATTTTGTGGAAGAGCCACACTCAAGGGGCCAAAGAGCCGCATGTGGCTCATGAGCCGCTGTTTGCCGACCACGGCTCTAACCAACTTAGCTACCTGGTCAGGGCCTATGTGTCCTCTCTTTTCCCCCACCCACCCCTCCAGCCTGCCCCCACCCTGTCCCAGGCCCTCACCACCCCGCCATGGGTCCATGGCTGTGACACAAGGTCTGGTTGGTCACCTCGCACCCTCCCCACCTTCCCTCCGAGACCCTGGACTCTGTTCCCCGCGTCCATGTCTCTGGATCCACGCCATCCGCTTATTTTGTTACTTAGATTCCATATGTGAAGGCATGATTCTCATCATTGATGTTTCTCTCTCTCCTCCCCTCTCCCTTCCTCTCTGAAATGGATAGAAACATATTGATTAAAAAAACAAAAACAGCCAAAACCGGTGTGGCTCAGTGGATAGAGCATCGGCCTGCAGACTGAAGGGTCCCGGGTTCGATTCCGGTCAAGGGCATGTACCTTGATTGTGGGCACATCCCCAGTGGGGGGTGTGCAAGAGGCAGCTGATCGATGTTTTTCTCTCATCCATGTTTCTAACTCTATCCCTCTCTCTTCCTCTCTGTAAAAAAAAAAAAATCAAAATATATATTTTTAAAAACACCCCAAAGCTTGAGAAAAGTGTGGTTGGGAAGGAAGCCCAGCAAGGAGGACAATTTTCCGAGAGCGGAAACAGGAAGTAGTAGTGAGCGAGAGGTGGAATGTGCAGGGGGTGGCCTCCGGGGTGACCAGGGCAGGAGGGCTGGTTGGAAGGACAGAGAAGCGCTCAGGCTGTGGGGAGCCACTGAGCTGCCCAGGGAACGTGGGAAAAGGCGAAGGAGTGGGCCTCCACGGGAGGTGCTTTATTTGTTTACTGTTAAATATATTTTTATTGATTTCAGAGAGAGAGGAAGGGACCGATAGGAACATCAGTATGAGAGAATCATGGATCGGCTGCCTCCCGCACACCCCACACTGGGGATGGAGCCCGCCACCCGGGCCTGTGCCCTGACCGGGAATCGAACCCTGACCTCCTGGTTCGATTGAGCCCAACGCTCAACCACTGAGCCACACCAGCCGGGTGACAGCGGGTGCTTTAGGAGAGGAGTGTGTGGGGCTGGCTGAGCTGGCATTGAGTGCCAGGGGCGCAGGGATTCCAGATGACGTGTAATTGTCAGGCAGGCAGTATGTCACCTCAGTGCCAGCAGTGCCCGCGGAGGCTGCCGGGGGCCTGCTTCGCACAGAGATGAGGACTGATGGCCGGGTTAGGGAATGGAGCTGCTAAGCAGTGAATGAGCGCTCAGCCATGTGGCTCAGGGGTGAGCGTCGACCTATGAACCAAGAGGTCACGGTTCGATTCCCGGTCAGGGCAGGTGCCTGGGTTGTGGCCGTGCAGGAGGTAGCTGATCCGTGATTCTCATCGTTGATGTTTCTCTCTCTCCCCTTCCTTTCTGAAATCAATAAAAATATATTTAAAAGGAAGAAGTAGTGAAGGACACAGCGGGGAGGAGGGTTTGGTGGGGACTAGTGTAACGGCACCACTAGGAGCCGCCATTCAAGTCGCCATGCAGGCCCTGTCTTCACGCTGACCAAGAAGGTGCAGTTCCTGTGACGTGTGCGTGAGTGGCACCTCATGAGTTGCTTCTTGGGCACACACACGCACACACACAAACACGTGCCAGTTTCTGAAAAACCCTCCAGAGATACCGCACCTCTCTACCCTCTTTCTCTGAGACTTCTGCATGGCAGTTTGTCCCGTGTAGCATGTGCTCCATTCACACACACACTCCTCCCCCCCATCTCTTCCCATGTCTGACCATCTCTCAAGGTCTCCTGGTCAGGTTCAATTCATGCTGATTTTATTACAGTCCTGGCTACCAACCACTTTGGGTATGTTTTCTTTTTTTTATTGATTTTTTTACAGAGAGGAAGAGAGAGGGATAGAGAGTTAGAAACATCGATGAGAGAGTCATTGATCAGCTGCCTCCTGCACCCCCCCCCCCCACACACACACACACACTGGGGATGTGCCGGCAACCAAGGTACATGCCCTTGACCAGAATCGAACCTGGGACCTTTCAGTCTGCAGACCGACGTTCTATCCACTGAGCCAAACCGGTTTTGGCAGGATAAATCTTCTTTAAAGCTTAGCTTGGTTTCACCCATTATTTCAAATCAGTTAAATGAGAGCAAGAGTTAAAGTTAAGTGAGTTGTCAGCTGTCCCGGTGTGTGTGCACTTTTTTCGGGGACTTCCTTTATTCTGTTGACCACATGGTCGAGTTTCAGCTATATTCAGTTGGAACAAAAACTTACCTTTAAGGCCGAAACCAGTTTGGCTCAGTGGATAGAGTGTCAGCCTGTGGACTGAAAGGTCCCAGGTTCGAATCTGATCAAGGGCATATACCTTGGCTGCGGGCACGTCCCCAGGGGGGGATGTGCAGAGACAGCTGATCGATGATTCTCTCTCATCGATGTTTCTAGCTCTCTATCCCCCTCTCTCTGTAAAAACTCAATAAAATATGTATTAAAAAGCCGAGACCGGTTTGGCTCAATGGATAGAGCGTCGGCTTGGGGACTCAAAGGTCCCGGGTTCGATTCCGGTCAAGAGCATGTGCCTTGGTTGTGGGCATATCCCCAGTAGGGGGTGTGCAAGAGGTAGCTGGTCGATGACTCTCTCATCGATGTTTCTAGCTCTCTATCTTTCTCCCTTCCTCTCTGTACAAAATCAATAAAATATATTAAAAAAATATGTATTAAAAAAACAAAAACAAACTTCCTGTAAATTAACTGTCAAGAGTCAGTGTCGTGGACAGTGCACATATATTTCAAGGGTCACATACGGGTTGATAGGAAATCTGTTATTTGACTTCAAGTTCATATGAAAGATACTTTAAAAAATATATTTTATTGATTTGTTACAGAGAGTAAGAGAGAGGGATAGTTAGAAACATCCATGAGAGAGAAACATCGATCAGCTGCCTCTTGCACACCCCCTACTGGTGAAATGCCCGCAACCAACGTACATGCCCTTGACCAGGACCATTCAGTCCACAGGCCGATGTTCTATCTGCTGAGCCAAACCATTTAGGGCTGAAAGATACTTTTATGAAGTGAAAAAACATCGATGTTTTATTCGCTAGGCAAAGGGAATTGAGCTAAAACATTTTTCTGTTTCATAAATCAAATATGAAGGGCGAAGAATGCCATCTTCAACCTCAGGGAGTCTTTTTCCTAATCAAAAAGGAAGTCGAGATACGCAAGCTTGTCATGCAGGTCTAAGCGCTGTTTCCCGTTTTCAGTAAACATCCGATTTCCAGTTGGTGCTGAGGGCCAGCTATTACGCTCACACCTGGAGGCCCAGCAGGTGTTGACGGACCTGGGCAGCCTTGTTGGAGCTGATGTAGGGTTTTCCGATACTCCTTTATGGATTCTCGCGTCTGGGACTGTTGGCAGGGAATTGTTTAGAGAGACCCTCCTTCCCCGGACGGACGTGAACTAGCTAGTAAACAAACCTCGAGCTTCGTTAAGGTGTAGCGAACGTCATCGCTTTTCTGCATGAGTGGCCGTTCGCCAGGCCGCAGTGGTGGAACTTTTTCTCCTCAATTAAATTTCTGTTCATTGTCACCAAAAGCCTCCCTTCCCCCAGGAGTCAGATACTAAACTTTAAACGGTTAGAGCTTGGAGTTTATGGGAGAGAAAAGGTTTATGCTCAGTAGCTGGGACCTGAAGCAAATCACGGCTGCGTTTTTCGATGAAATAGACCATTTTTCTTGCCCCACACGGAAGCCCTGTGGCGGTGACAGTGTTCTCTACAAACACAAAAGTGAAGGTGCCGTTTCTGGCTGAAGAGCACTGTGTTTTGAAAACTAAAGGCCCGAGGCACGAAGATTCGTGCAAGAATAGGCTTTCTTGCCGCCTTCTGCCTTGCCTTGATGTGTCAATTTGCATATTGCCTCCTGATTGGCTGTGGGCACTTCCACCTTTGTCCCGGAGTTACGGTCAGTTTGCATATTCTGTGTTTATGATGGACTGCTTGACATTGATTTTTCATGGGCACTAAGTTAGGGCTGTCAGTTTTATGTGTTCCTAGTCTTGATACGGATAAGAAGTAGCCCGGTTGGGTTGTACAAAGGACATAATGAATGAAGCCTGACCACAGAGCCAGGACCTTCTCCCTGGCCTGTCCTCCTGGCGGGCGCCTCTGAGGCAGCTTCTGGGAATTGTTGGGAAAGACAGCACCTCACTGCCTTCAGGCGGAAGAGTCGTGTGTTCCTTCATCCGACCAGCTAGAGATGCCGAGTCGGATCCTAGTTCTCGCCTCCCTCACCCCCGTGCCCTCCTTGGAAGGAACAGGTCCTGAGGAGGAGACGTAGGTGTCCATGTTATGAATGGCGTGTCCCTTAGCAACGTGACTTTCTTGTTGAATTCTCAGATCTGGAGTGAGATAAGGGTCAGCTGGTCGAGGGGTGGGAGGCGAATGGGAACCACACCACCGGAGGTAAAGCGTTGCCCGAGAGCCCCTCCCAAGGCTGTGGCGCGGGGTCTGTGCTGTCTCCTTCGAGTCCTGGGGAAGGGAAGGCTGAGAGCGGGGAGCCGCCTGGGTCCTGAGCATCCGGGGCCTCCCAGCCTCCGCCGGGTCCTGCGTGGATGCCTCGTGTGGGTGCTCTGATGGGACGTCACGTGCTGCGCAGGTTCTTCACGCTCATTAGTGTGGTCACTGCTCTGTGGGTCTGCCGCGTAGACACTGAGCTGTTCACCTGTCGGGCGGTGAGCAGGAGGGTTCCTCCCTGCCTTCTCGCAGCTTCCTTTTCCGTGTTGTCAGAGCCTTTGGAATTTCATTACGGTTCTGTGAGTTCGCGCCATTCTCCACTCCACATTCAGGGAGCAGCAGAGTGTGACAGTCATGGCCCCATAGCTGGTCTCCAGAAGAATAAAAAAATCCATTAAGAGAAATTGGTTTTTCCACACATGGATTTTATTGTATTGCTTTTCTTCCCCATATATATATATTTTTTTTAAAAAAAAATATGTTTTTTTATTGATTTCAGAGAGGAAGGAAAAGGGAGAGAGAGTTAAAAACAGTGATGAGAGAATCATTGATTGGCTGCCTCCTGTCCCCTAAACCCGCCTCTCCTCCGCCCCCGGGGACTGAGCCTGAATCCCCGGATGTGCCCTGACCGGCCCCCCAGCTGTATTCACTGACGTATGTTGACCTGACCACCGAGCGGCCTGTTTAAGTTAAGATGACCAGACGTCCCGCTTTTGGCGGGACAGTCCCGATTTTTATTATATAAACCGGGACGTCTGGTCACCTTAGTTTAAGTGCAGGTCCAGGTCAGGCTGTGACAAGCATGTAACCTGGCATGTCTCTAACAGGAATCGTACCCAGCTTCCTCACCAATATGGTTCGTGGACTCTGATGACCCCAACCTGACATCAGTTCTGGAACGTCTAGAAGATTCTAAGAGCAACGGTTCGGTAAGAAAATCCGTCCTGCTCCTTTCTCGCTTTCTTCATGAACCTTAGGGAATTGCTTTTTCTGTCAAGAGTCTGTAACTGCGGTAAAAGCCAGAGGGACATAAATGAAAAGTTTTTGTGTAGAGAGAAATGCAACTTCCCATTTCACACAAAAATTAAAAACCCGTTGTCCTTTTTTTAAAAAAATATATATATATTTTATTGATTTTTTACAGAGAGGAAGAGAGAGGGATAGAGAGTTAGAAACATCGATGAGAGAGAAACATCGATGAGAGAGAAACATCGATCAGCTGCCTCCCGCACACCCCCTACTGGGGATGTGCCCGCAACCAAGGTACATGCCCTTGACCGGAATCGAACCCTGGACCTTTCAGTCCGCAGGCCGACGCTCTATCCACTGAGCCAAACCAGTTTCAGCCTATTGTCCTTTTTTAATAAAACTGATGAATAACATTTGTGAGAGAACTAGTGCAATTTAAAGGGAACATGAAAATCTTTGTAATTTATCTGCCTGCTATAACCATTGTTGACATGATGTGTTTGTTTGTTTGTTTTTTCCGTTTTTCTCCCTTGTAATAAAATACATATACATGTTTAAATAGTTGAGGTCATAGTCTACATAGTTTTATGCCATTTTTTAAAGTTAATAATATTATTATTTTTCCATGATGTCATAAAGTCCTTATAGAAAATATCAGTCATTCTTTATAGTAATCTTAAAACTGTTTTCTCAGTGGATTCCTTTTAGATAAGATTATCTAAAAGGAATCCACTGAGAAAACAGTTTTAAGATTACTGGTTAAAAGTGCTGTTATAGCCCTGACCTGTTTGGCTCAGTGGATAGAGCATCAACCTGTGGACTCAAGGGTCCCAGGTTCGATTCCAGTCAAGAGCATGTACCTTGGTTTCGGGCACATTCCCAGTGGGGGGCGTGCAGGAGGCAGCTGATCGATGTTTCTCATCGATGTTTCTAGCTCTCTATCCCTCTCCCTTCCTTTCTGTAAAAAATCAATAAAATACATATATATTTTTTAAAAAGTGCTGTTATATAAAAATCAGTGGTTCTCCCAAATATCAGCCATAATCAGAGAGAAAATATAGGAGAAAAGTATTTTGTTAGCAATTACAATTAAATTAAAAAAGAAAAACTACCTATGAATAAACTTAGCTATATCAAGAAAACTATAATAATTTGCTGAGTAGATGGAAGACAGTGTGTTCCGGGTAATTAAACATGTTAATTATCTTCATAGCTTTATTTTAACTTATAAATTGAATACAATTCCAGTTTAAAAAAAAAAAAAATCAGACTTCTTTTTGGAACTTGACAAAATGAATCTAAAGTCTGTTTTGAAGAGTGAAAATAATAATGAAGTTGTAGAAAAAGTAATGAAATGAGACTTGTTCAAGTAGGTTTTACATAGAATGCCATGTCCTGACACTGGCTTGGGTGGGTAAAGGCTGGGAATTTAGAATGAGTCATGTAATTGAGAATTTAGAGCAAGTGAAATTGAGTTAAAGTACTCAAAAAGGAGAGGATCAATTATTCTATTAATAGTATTGGGAGATATGACCATTTTGGAAATTAGAGTCTGACCTCAGATTATTGTCAAAATAAGTTACTTTTGCTTTAAACACGTTTATTCCTAAAATTAAGAGGATAAGGTCAGCCGAAACCGGTTTGGCTCAGTGGCAGAGCGTCTGTCTGCGGACTGAAAGGTCCCAGGTTCAATTCCGGCCAGGGGCATGTACATTGGTTGCGGGCACATCCACGGTAGGGGGTGTGCAGGAGGCAGCTGGTCGATGTTTCTCTCTCATCAACGTTTCTAGCTCTCTATCTCTCTTCCTCTCTGTAAAATATCAATAAAATAAAAAAAGCATAAGGTCAATTTTAAGGGATTTGGGAAGTGAAGGCTGGTCTGCAGAGCCCAGAGGTGGAGGTGAGAGGCTAGCGAAGGGGGCGCGTTGCACCTGCCGCAGGGTCCGCAGGAAGGAGAAGGAGGGTTGGCAGGGGCTGCAGGACAGGCAGGAGGATGGGCAGGGGCCGCAGGAGAATGGGGCAAGGGCTGCAGGACGGGGCAGGATGATGGGGCAGGGGCGGAGGATGGGGTGGGGGCTGCAGGACGGGTGGGGACCGCAGGATGGGCAGGAGGATGGGCAGGAGCCGCAGGACCAGTAGAGGCAGCTCCCTGCAGCCGCCTTTTATAGACCGGAGGGTGTGCATGTTGCACCCCCTCAGAAACGCTCACACAGAGCCCAGTCAGTGACAGAGTCAGCGTCTTTCCTGGCTCCATCCCCTCCTCATCACAGCCGCCTGCCTCTCGTGGCATCCACGTTCTTCCCTTTAGTTGCCCAACCGGGGCCGCCTCCCTTTCCGGTGCTAAGACTGACCGGCTGCAGTGGGAGCTGTCAGTGTTCCTGCGGAAACACCTCCCTCCGCTGCGCACCGGGGACGGCGAGACCGCGGCAGCCCAGTTAGAGGAAGGCGCTGAGCGTGGTTTCAGCGGGGCGTCACGTGGTGACAGTCTCGTCCAGGCGGCCGCTGTCCTGTGCAGTGCCACGAGAAGCCTGTCTGCCGTTTACACGCTTTCCTTAGTCGCAGAACACAGAAAAGCATATGCTTTTTAAAACTATATATATTTTATTGATTGTTTACAGAGAGGAAGGGAGAGGGAGAGAGAGTCAGAAACATCGATGAGAGAGAAACATCCAGCAGCTGCCTCTTGCACACCTCCACCTGGGGATGTGCCCGCAACCAAGGTACATGCCCTTGCCCGGAATCGAACCCGGACCCTTAAGTCCACAGGCCGACGGTCCATCCACTGAGCCAAACCGGTCAGTGCTCTTCCTCTCTTGTTGCCGGCGTGCTGCTGGGCCCTCTGTAGGGCTGCACTTGGCCCTCGGGACTCGCACGCAGGCCCCGGCAGCACCCTCACCAGGTCATTCCATCCTGGCTGCCCGGGCAGCAGCACCTTTCCCTTCCTGCCGGGCTGGTCACAGCGTGACTGTCGGCGGAGGCCTCTGACGCTGCTTCTCTGACTGTTTTGCAGCTCCGCCAGCAGCTGAAGTGGCTGATCTGTGAGCTCTGCAGGTTGCACGACCTTCCCAAGCACCTGGATGTGGAGCTGCTCGACCAGCCGCTGCCCACGGGCCAGGTACGGAAGCCTTCCTGGGCCCCGCGCCGAGGAGTGGGCTCAGGCCAAGCGAAGCTAGGGTGCTTTCCTCGCTTAGCGTGCAGCGTGTCAGGGTTAGTGCTGCTGTTGGATGCTTTGTTTGCTTCGCTGGAGCCACCACTCTTTTCACTTTTTAAAAGAATATGTTTTTTCTTATTTTTTTTACAGAGAGGAAGGGAAAGGGATAGAGTTAGAAACATCGATGAGAGAGAATCATCCATTAGCTGCCTCCTGCACGCCCCCTACTGGGGATGTGCCGCAACCAAGGTACATGCCCTTGACCGGAATCGAACCCAGGACCCTTCAGTCTGCAGGCTGACGCTCTATCCACTGAGCCACACCGGTCAGGGCTTTGTTTGCTTTGCTGTCGGCACCATGCTTTTCACTTTTTGGAGTGAATTCGCTGTGACATTCAGAGACCCGGCCCCTCCCACACTCACCCTTGTTGCTAATGTTCCGGTTCCATTCCTGCTCTCGCTTCCTCGGTTGTGGCTTGTGCTGACTCACTTCCTCGCCTGCAAACCCGGTTCCCTCAGGCATCCCCAGCTGTGTCTCCTCCGTGCCGTGCCCTAGGGAGTCTGGGATGACAGGATGCCTCCCGAGGATGATAATTCTCCGTGTTCTCTGCACTTTTTTTTTTTTTTTTTTTTTTAATATATTTTCATTGTTTTTTTTACAGAGAGGAAGAGAGAGGGATAGAGTTAGAAACATCAATGAGAGAGAATCATCGACCAGCTGCCTCTTACACACCCCCCATTGAGATGTGCCCGTAACCAAGGTACATGCCATTGACCGGAATCGAACCCGGGACCCTTCAGTCCACAGGCCAACGCTCTATCCACTGAGCCAAACTGGCTTCGGCTGTTCTCTCCACCTTTGTGAGCGCCCTCGCTTCGGAGCCTTTGGTTCTGCCCGTGTTGGCGGTGGCTCTCTGAGCTGGCGGGACAGCTGCATCTGACCTGCTCTTGTCTCGTCTGCTCGCGTGGGTCTGTCCCTGACCTGGGCACCGTTCTGGGCTCGCCGTTCCCCTTTGCCTGAGGGCACCTCGGAAACCCGGGAAGGGTGAGGCACCTTGGTTTCACACTCGGTTCTGCTGCTCAGGAACTGCATTTCTTCCCCCAGCCCTGTGTGCAGCCACTTCCCTTCCTGCCAGGGGGCAGTGTTGGGTGACCAGCCGTCCCGCTTTTGGCGGGACAATCACGATTTTTAATAATTTGTTCCGTGTCCCGCGGCATTTTTAAAAAGTCCAGAAGATTTAAAAGATTCTTTCCAAAAATCAGGACTTTTTTATTTTTATTTATTTTAAAAAGTATATATTTTATTGATTTTTTACAGAGGAAGAGGGAGGGATAGAGTTAGAAACATCGATGAGAGAGAAACATCAATCGAACCTGGGACCTTTCAGTCCCTGGGACCGGAATCGAACCTGGGACCTTTCAGTCCGCAGGCTGATGCTCTATCTGAGCCAAACCGGTTTTGGCAAAAAAAAATCAGGACTTTTTTAAAAGGCCGCAGGACTTGGGACAAATTGTTAAAAATCGGGACTGTCCCGCCTGGTCACTTTAGTGTTGGGGGCTCTGAAGGCTACAGCGTTAGTGCTGTAGGGCATGTGCGGGGCATGTAAGTGCCCGTCAGTGTGAACGGCTTAGTCGGCCTCACATGGGCTGGGGTTGTGCTGATGTGGGTTCTGACTGGAAATGCTGTCCTCGGTGTTAACTCAGCCACGGGCGGGGGAGCCTGCGCCCCCTGAACCTTCCCATCTCCGCAGGAGCCCGAGGGCCCCTCCTTGGTGTCAGCGTGGCCTTAGCAGATCTTCCTCCCGGAGGGGCCTTTTCCGATGGGCCACGTCGTCTCCGTGGTGGGTGTGCGCTCCCTCCGGCTCCTCTCTCCTCCCGTTCTCTCTGTGGAAACGCCTGCTCTGGGGATCGGAGACTGTGCCTCTGTTCTCTCTCTCCGTCTTAATTTCAAATGCTAGGAAATGTTCTCATCTCCCAGCGTTTAGGACTTTATTAGGATAGCGTAACTTTAAGTTTTGTTTTGGGTGTGTGCTGCTGATCCAGTTACCCCCGGACTGGACGGCTTAAATAATGTACTCTCCGCCTCTCGACGGGGTGGCGGGCTTGCCTTACCTGACAGGCTGCTGCCTCTCGTGCAGTCAGCCCCGGGCTGGGGCCGGGGCCCTCTGGACGCACTGCCCTGGGCCTGCAGGGCTCCTCCCTACACCTGCTGCCCTCCTCATCACCCTGCCCTCCTCTCTCCATCGCCCTGCCCTCCTCTTTCTTAGGAAGCTCATAGGATCCTTAGTTTTGTCTTCCGATCTGGAAGCTGCCAGGCCCTATGAGGATTAAGTTGGGAACTGGCCAGTGTCACTCTCACCACATCAGTGGTTCACTCACAGCCCAGTGGATTGTGGGAGGCCCGAGGAAGGGGTGAGGGCTGGCTCACGGGGTCCTCTCCACAGGGGACCCACACATTCTGAGATGACTGTTCGTACTCACAGCATTCATTCTGCTTCTGGGTGTTACCTGTAGTTCATGTGCAAGCGTCTTGTTCTCCCTCTAGCACCTCAATTGTCCCTTTAATGCTTATGTTTAAAAAACAATTTATTGTCCTGGCTGGTGTGGCTCAGTGGGTAGAGTGTCAGCCTTCAAACTGAAGGGTCCCAGGTTCGATTCTGGTCAAGGGCACACACCCGGGTTGCGGGCTTTATCCCCAGGGGCTTGATCAAGCATGCAGGAGGCAGCCGATCCATGGTTCTCTCTCATCATGGTGGTTTTTCTCTCTCTCTGCCTCTTTCTTCCTCTCCGAAATCAATAAAAATATATTTTTTTAAAAGTTTTTTTGGTCTTGTTCTTTTTAAAGACTTTTAAAGTGAAGGAAGCCATTTATTTAAGCATAAAATGTTTTTTAAATTTTAAATGAGAATGTCTTTAATGTTTTTAGAGGTGCTTTATATATGATTCATTGCCTTCGTTATTCCTAATGCACTTGTTAACTTGAATTTATTCCAAAATGTTTCTTTGAGAAAACTGATACGTGTTGGTCCAATCAGAGCTGGAGGTCAGGTGCTGTGTCTCTCACCTGTCACCGGTCCTCTGGAGTCGGGGCAGGAGAGGGACAGTCGGGGCCCTGGCGTCTCCCAGTGCCCAGGGTGTGCTGCCCGCTGGCCTGGCACCTTCTCCTTCCTTTGCAGAATGGAACCACAGAGGAAGTGACGTCGGAAGAGGAAGACGAGGAGGAGATGGCGGAGGTGGGTGTCTTACAGAACATGGTGTGGATATCTTCGTTACGGAAAATCTTAGAAATTCCTCTCATCTCTTTACACACCAGCGTTAGTGTGGAATAATGAAGAGCACACTGTTCCTGGAATTGAATATAATTGATGGCTTTAATTGTATATCAAATCTGGCTTTTACCTCTAATGTGTGCTTTTTTTTAAAATATTTTTTAATATATTTTTATTGATTTTACACAGAGAGGAATTGAGAGGGACAGAGAGTTAGAAACATCAATGAGAGAGAATCATCGATCAGCTGCCTCTTGCACATCCCCTACTGGGGATGTGCCCGCAACCAAGGTACATGCCCTTGACCGGGATCGAACCCGGGACCTTTCAGTCCGCAGGCCGACGCTCTATCCACTGAGCCAAACCGGTCCCGGCTAATGTGTGCTTTTGAATAAATTGCTTCTCTGATGTCGCAGATTTGGTTTTCTGGGAAATGAGAGCTTTTAACATTTAGCACTAAAATTATATTTTATTGATTTTTTTTAGAGAGGAAGGGGGGGAGAGAAACATCAATGATAAGAGGGAATCATTGATTGGCTGTCTCTTGCACGCCCCCTACTGGGAATCGAGCCTCCAACCCAGGCATGTGCCCTTGGCCGGAATCGAACCTGGGACCTTTCAGTCCGCAGGCCGATGCTCTATCCACTGAGCCACACCGGCCAGGGCAAACCCAAGATTCTTGATGCCTCGATGCTAAACTATTTTAAATCTCTTCGTAGGAGACTGAAAAGATGGCTTCTTTGGTAACAGGTATTAAAGATACCTTTCTCAGATTCTAGTTTTATAACAGAGTGCGAGCTGTGAGCAGGGAGCCTTTGCATGGGTGTGAATGAAGGCCTCTTACCCCGTCCTGTAGGGAGCTCTCTCCTGCTCCCTCCAGTCAGGAGTCGTCGGCCTTGAGCCGGAGCGGGAGCACTCACGCGTCTGCTGTTTGCAGGACATCGAGGACCTGGACCACTACGAGATGAAGGAGGAGGAACCTGTCAGCGGGAAGAAGTCGGAAGACGAAGGAATCGAGAAGGAGAACTTGGCGATACTGGAGAAGATTAGGAAGACTCAAAGGCAAGACCATCTCAATGTATGTGTAACATTCTGGGACCGGGGCTTAGGGCTGCGTAGCTCGTAGGCGATCACGTGGACACGGGCCCTTCACCCAGCGCCAGCTCAGCGGCCCTCCAGCCGCCGTGGGGCTCAGGCTGGGCCTTGGTGCCGCGTGTTTTTTATCGGCGGTTCACGTTTCTCGTCTGCTGATCGCCATCTCGCCCTGTTCCTCTGCCTTTTCCTCCCAGCATCCCTGTCCGCTTCTGCCCTTTTCTCACGGCTGCGTGTTAATTCCGCCTCCTCATGTGCAGCTCAGTCCTCCTCCAGGAGGCCCTGCCCTGGTGGGACCAAACACCGTATGGTCTTTGCCATCACACCTTTGGGTGCAGCAGCGGGTGTGTGAAAGGAGTGCTCTGATGACAGACGCGCCTTATGTAAGGTGACCAGATGTCCCGCTTTTGGCGGGACAGTCCTGACTTTTAACAATTTGTCCCACATTCCGTGGCGTTTTAAAAAAGTCCTTATTTTTCAAAAATCGGGACGTCTGGTCACCTTAGCCTTATGGCTTCAGTTCCCTTGACTCCACATGCAGGGGGGCCCCGGGGAGCCTTCTGGGTGATTCTCTGAAGAGGAACGAGTCCCATCCATAAATGCCAGACAGAGTAGGACAACATCACGTGAGAGGAGGGTTTCTGTCTGAAAACCACCTACTGCCCTCATGAGAGCTACTTCCCAGCCCTGTGAGGCCTGAGGCCGCTGTGCTGTCGGGCTGTGTCTCGGACAGGATGGATTCTCATGCAAGGAGACACAGCCTTACCTGCTGTGTCAGTGCAATCGGCAAACCTTCTTTAGAGCATGAGATGCAACGTTCTATGCCCTAACGAGGGATGCGTGTCCTCATACATGTGTCTAAGGCATAGAGACTGCCACACCGATGAGCCTGGGGGTCGCTTGGGCCGTGGGAGGTCACGTGGGCTCTGGGTAATCCCTTGCTGCAGGCTCATCAGTCATAGGACTCGTGCCTTCAGGTGAGGGAGACTATGCTTATGGGACACCCTGTGGGAAAGCTGTGTCTTCCTCTTTTTTTTTTTAATTTATTGATTTTTTTACAGAGAGGAAGGGAGAGGGATAGAGAGCTAGAAACATCGATGACAGAGAGACATTGACCAGCTGCCTCTTGCACACCCCCTACCAGGGATGTGCCCGCAACCAATGTACGTACCCTTGACCGGAATCGAACCTGGGACCTTTCAGTCCACAGACCAATGCTCTAGCCACTGAGCCACACCGGTTTCGGCTGTGTCTTCCTCTTGATTTTGCTGCGAATGTAAAGCTACAAAATAAACCCTTAAACACAGCGGGGGAAATAGGTGGGATCTGGAAGAGACACACGTGAGTCCCAGGTGTGGCAGGGCCGTGGCGACCGGACACCCTGGCAGGGCTTGTTTGCAGATGGGAAGAAGCAGTACCTGAGCCAGGCTTGTCCCTCATAAGCTTTGACTTAACGTGTTAACTTTTTTGGCTTCTTACTATGTCAGTGGTGGTCCACATTTGCAGTGTCACAGGACACGGGCCTTCCGGCTCAGACACCGGGGGCCCCTCTGTCTGACCGCGGTCCCGGCTGTGTTGCAGGGCGCCGTGTCCGGGTCGGTGCAGGCTTCAGACCGGCTGATGAAGGAGCTCAGGGACATCTACCGCTCGCAGAGCTACAAAGCAGGTGAGCACGCGGCCCGGGTCGGTCTCTGCGCCTTGCCAGTGTCAGAGTCCAGCTGGCATCTCGTGGTTGGACAGAACCAGAACTATTTACTGACTTCATGGGAGGGATGTGAAACATAAATGTGACCAAGTTATCAAAAGATGTGGGTCAGCCGGGACCGGTGTTGCTCAGTGGATAAAGAGTGTCGGCCTGCGGACTGAAAGGTCCCGGGTTCGATTCCGGTCAAGGGCATGTACCTTGGTTGCGGGCACATCCCCAATAGGGGGTGTGCAAGAGGCAGCTGATCGATGGTTCTCTTTCATCGATATTTCTAACTCTCTATCCCTCTCTCTTCCTCTCTGTGAAAAATTAATAAAATATATATATTTTTAAAAGATGTGGGTGAAATAGGGTGAGTGTACAGCACCTCCACCCTTATCCATGGTTTCAGTTACCCATGGTCAGTCCGAAAATATCCAATTGAAAATTCCAGAAGCAAACAATTCCTAAGTTTTATTTATGGTGAGAGAGAAACAAACATCAGTTCGCTGTGACACTTACTGATGCATTTATTGGTTGATTCTTGTATGGGCCCCGACTGGGGCTCGAACCCACAACCTTAGCTTATTGGGTTCCCCTAACCAACTGAGCTACCGGCCAGGGCTGGTCCATAAGTTTTAAACTGCACTTGGTTCTGTTTTGAGCAGCGTGTCTAGAAGTTTATCTGTAGAAACCTCTTAGCATGCAGTTAAATGTTTGAGTAATGACTTGTCTTTAAATGTTAAATAACTTGTTTCTCCAGCACTGTTTGGAGTAGCAGAACATAAAAAAAAACTCATCAGATGTAGGGTGGAATTGGGTAAATTATGCTAAGAAATAGTAAGAAATTGACAATAAATTTCTGTATACCAAATAGGACAGATGCTCCAGGAAAGGAGATGAAACTATATATATATATATATAGAGAGAGAGAGAGAGGGTGCCCATTTTTAAAAAATATATATATATATTATTGATTTTTTACAGAGAGGAAGAGAGGGATAGATAGTTAGAAACATCGATGAGAGAGAAACATCCATCAGCTGCCTCTTGTACACATCCCATTGGGGATGTGCCTGCAGCCAAGGTACATGTCCTTGACCGGAATCGAACCTGGGACCTTTCAGTCCACTGACCAATGTTCTATCCACTGAGCCACACTGGTTTTGGCGGGGTCACCCTTTTTTTTTTTTTTAATATATTTTATTGATTTTTTACAGAGAGGAAGGGAGAGGGATAGATAGCGAGAAACGTCAATGAGAGAGAAACATCAACCAGCTGCCTCTTGCACACTCCCTACCGGGGTTGTGCCTGCAACCAAGGTACATGCCCTTGACCGGAATCGAACCTGGGACCTTTCAATCCGCAGACTGACGCTCTACCACTGAGCCACACCGGTTTTGGCAGGGTCACCCATTTTTATAGAAATGTGTGCATGTGGCCGAAACCGGTTTGGCTCAGTGGGTAGAGCGTCGGCTTGGGGACTGAAAGGTCCCCGGTTCGATTCCGGTCAAGGGCATGTACCTTGGTTGCGGGCATATCCCCAGTGGGGGGTGTGCAGGAGGCAGCTGATCGATGACTCTCTCTCATCGATGTTTCTAACTCTGTATCTCTCTCCCTCTCTGTACAAAGTCAATAAAATATATATATTTAAAAAAAAAAAAAGAAAAAAGAAATGTGTGCATGTGTGTGAATAAAGGTGCGTAGGATTTTACGTGATTTCTTTCTCCCACTCAGTTCATGGAACATAATTTCTCACCTCGTTACAGAAGCTTCTTGTTGTTAATGGCTCTAAGGGTCTGGGAAGGGCATGAGGTACTTGGCTCTCGTGGCAAAAGCGTTACCGTGTAGCTCTGTCCCACTTTCAGTGGCAACATTCCTAGCTTTGGGGCTGATAGTGTCCATACTTCACTGGAGTGACAGTCACCCACCAGTGCAGAGTCACTGACACTCTGATCTCCGCAGGGTTCTACTCCGTGGAGCTCATCAATGACAGCTTGTACGACTGGCACGTGAAGCTTCAGAAGTGAGTGGCTTCCTGCTCGCCCTCTCGCGGTGACGGCTGGCGGCACACCCGCACGGAGAGCGCCCTCGTGGATGCCGTTAGCACAGAGCTCTCCTGGCACTGTAGCTCCCGGGTCGCTCCGCGGTGTCAGGAGGAGTTGCTTTGGGGCTTAGTAACCATGAGGCGAGAAGCGGGGAGGGAAGGGGCGGCTGTGGGGAAGTGGCTCCTGGAGGAGGGGAGGGGGGGACTGCAGACACCAGTGGATTGAATAACCGGGTGAGGTGACAGCTTGTCTGAAGGGAGGGATTTGGTAAGACCTGAACAGGCAGTTAGATTTTGTCAGGGCTTTGTGTTCTCTGGTGTCATCCATGGTAAATATATCTCCGTGAACCCTTGTCTAATAACGCAGTTTTAGGAAAGGAGATTACTTTTTTTTTGAGTCCTTGGAAAAATTATGTGCATACTAGAGGCCCGATGCACGAAGATTCATGCAAGAATGGCCCTTCCTTTTCCCTGGCTGCCAGCAGCACCTTCACTTCGGCCAGAGCCATCTTTCCGCCTTCCCACGCTGCCCAGAGGCCTGGAGCAGCTGGGGTGGTGCAGAATGCCTGTAGCCATGCAAGCATCCTGCCCAGAGGCCTGGAGCAGCTGGGGTGGTGCAGAATGCCTGTAGCAATGCAAGCATCCTGCCCCCAGCTGCTCAGCACCTGTGTGTGCAAAAAACCTGCCATATTTATTAGGTTAATTTGCATACTCATGCCTGATTGGCTGGTGAGCGTTGTGAAGGTACAGTTCAATTAGCATTTACTCTTTTTATTAGGTAGATGACATGACCATCTTCTCTAGAATGACTGCTGACTTTGAATCGCCAGAGAATAGATTGAGAATATTGTAAAATTTTTTTGTAGTTTTTAATCCTCACCTGAGGATATCGTTTCCACTAATTTTTACAGAGAGTGGAAGGGAGGGAGAGGGTAAGAGAGAGAGACATTTACATGAAAGAAACACATGGATTAGTTGCCTCTCCTAAGAGCCTCAACCAGGAATCAGACCTCCAACCGGCTATGTGCCTTTGACTGGGAAGGAACCAGGAGACTTCAGTTCTCTGCCGACCCTCTAACACGGAGCAACACCACCCAGGGCTGGAATACCGGGTGTCTGTCTCTCTCTTTCTCTCTCTCTTTTTAGAAAGTATTTTTTTTTAATATATTTTATTGATTTTTAACAAAGAGAAAGGGAGAGAGATAGAGAGCTAGAAACGTTGATGAGAGAGAAACACCGACCAGCTGCCTCCTGCACACCTACCGGGAATGTGCCCACAACCAAGGTACATGCCCTCGACCGGAATCGAACCCGGGACCTTTCAGTCCGCAGACCGACGCTCTACCACTGAGCCAAACCGGCTTCGGCTCTCTCTCTTTTTAAATATATCTTCATTGATCTCAGAGAGGAAGGGAGAGGGGGAGAGAGTTAGAAACATCAATGATGAGAGAGAATCGCTGATTGGCTGCCTCCTGCACGCTCCCTATTGGGGCTTGAACCTGCAACCCGGAATGCAACCGTGACCTGGTTCATAGGTGGATCCTCCACCCCTGAGCACACCGGCCAGGCTGTGATCTCTCTTGGAACATTTCATCCCTCGGAGTTGGGGTTCTAGAATTTGCTTTTCCACAGAACAGCTGTAGAGCTTGTCTGCTCAGACCTCACCGTGGGGCTCTGTCAGCGCTTGGGCCGGGTCCTTTTTGAGGTCGGTGAGAAAAGAATCTGACTTTTTTTTGTAATTCTTAGGGTGGATCCTGACAGTCCTTTGCACAGTGACCTTCAGATCTTAAAGGAAAAAGAAGGCATAGAATATATTTTGCTTAACTTCTCTTTTAAGGTAAGAACACTGTGACCGAGCTCCTGTGCGTCTCGTGGGAAAACGCTTGGGGTTTCTCATGCCCTGCGTTCAGGGACCCCCTGGGAGTGTGCCCTGCCCAGACACGAGCTCGCTGCCCGGGGGCCTGTTCAGGGCGGCCCTGGGCACGTGGCCCCGAGGAAGGCTTCCATGAGCGAGCAGGGTGACGGGGCCGCGGGATCGGCGGCTCTTAAACAGAACGTGGAGCAGGAGACGCACGCGCTGTACCGTCCACGGCCGTGAAGCTCACACCCGGGCGAAACCAGTAACATTGTCTAGGCTGTGCGTCCTCAGCGCGGCATTCTCACCCCCGTGGGGGAGACGCCGTCCTCGGAGTAAAGGTCTCAGAGGTCACAGTGGTGGTCTGCAGCCTTGAGTTTCTCAGGAGGAATGTGTGAGCTGCTTTCTGCACCGAGAGCAAAGGCTCTGCAGCTGCTGGCTTCCGGGTGTGTTTCTGCGGAAATCGCAGACGCTCTGCTCTAGGCGTGAGATAGTTCTCCTGTCTTCCCTCCTCAGGGGCTGTGTTCAGAGTTTATGGCTTCTCCCGAATCTTCCTTAGGGGCGGGTGGGGATAGGGGTGAGTGAGAGACTCCGGTGAGCTGTGTTAGTTCGGTAACAACCGGAGGGACGGAGCTCCCTCCTCTCCAGCGGCTCCGGTGCTCCCTTATCCTCTTCGGTTCGGTCGTAGAAGCCACCCCGCTGGCGGGTGTTTCTTTGGCCCCAGACAGGGTTCCTGGAGGTGACGGCTGTTTCCCGGGCTTCCAGCACGGCCTCCTCTGCTGCCACCTTTGCTGCAGCCCCTGGGAGAGCGTGTGTGTTGCTGCCCCAGGCTCGGCGCTGTGCGTGGCGCTGTGTGTGTCACTGACCCAGGTTGAGTGCTATGTGTGTCACTGTGCGTGGCGCTGTGTGTCGCTGTCCCGGGCTTGGCGCTGTGTGTGTCACTGTGTGTGTTGCTGTGTGTGTCGCTGTCCCGGGCTTGGCGCTGTGTGTAGTGCTGTGCATGTCATTGTCCTAGGCTTGGTGCTGTGTGTGGTGCTGTCCCGGATTGAGCGCTGTGTGTGGTGCTGTTGCTCGGTGCTGTGTGTGGTGCTGTGTGGCGCTGTCCCAGGCTCGGCGCTGTGCTGGGCCAGCCCTGGTTGTGGGAGCCGCTGCCGCTGTAATGTTGGCCTCTGGGCTCAAACCCCCATCTCACAGGTGCTTTCTGTCTGTCCTCCTTGCTGGGCTGTTCTCGCTCTTCAGGATAAGCGTCCCACTGCCTGGTGCGCACAAGGCCTCATGGGCTTCCTCTCCGCCTGACAGCCATGGCGTCCTGAACATCTTTACTTGCATATGTGCAGCGTGTTTATTTTAAAACTGTGTCGGATAAATACTGACTCCTTGTGTCTGTCGTTTGCATCTCGCTCTCCTAATCATGTCATTTTGGGCCTCATGTAACTTACCTGTAGTGATAACCCATGTACGACAGGCTGGGGAGCTGATTGGAGCCTTTGCGCTGCTCCAGGGTGCCTGGAGGCGTTTCGGGTTGAGATGACCTGGAGGGGAGACGCCCTCCTCTCAGCAGGGAGCTCGGCAGTTTGTCCTGCGGGGTCCCAGCTCCGTGCGAGGCCTGGGAAGGCCTTGCAGGAACCCAATACACTGCTCCGCTTGGGAGGGATAGCAGCTTCATTGGTGTCAGAGAGGAAGGGAGAGGGAGAGAGAGAAACATCAGTGATGAGAGAGAATCATGGATCGGCTGCCTCCTGCACGCCCCCTATTGGGGATTGAGCCCGCAACCCGGGCATGTGCCCCTGACCGGAATTGAACCCGGGACCCTTCAGTTCACAGACTGACGCTCTATCCACTGAGCCACACCGGCTAGAGCTCTTTGGCTTTGATTCCATTTTCTTTTTGGTACTGTTTTAACTTTGGGACCCTCCCTCAGCCTCAGATAGCAAATGTCTTTATGGACTAAAATCTCCCACGCGATGTGGTATTGAGGGTGTTCTGAAAATGGACCTAACTTGCTGACTTGCCTTTTAGGATAACTTCCCGTTTGATCCTCCATTCGTCCGCGTGGTGATGCCGGTTCTCTCCGGAGGGTAAGTGTAAGTGACCTTTTCTGTGATCGTGTGCGCCGGGAGCTTTTGAGGGCTGGTTGGGGGCCGAGGCCCGGACGCCAGCTCAAGGCTTGGCCATGAATGCCCCTAGGAACGGGGTCTCCCCGAGCTTCTGATGGCGGGGGCCGGGGGCCGGGGGCTGGGGGCTGGGAGGTGGTGTTTCTCAGCGGCCGCAGGCGCCGTTCACGGTTCTGGGGACCACAGTTTGGGAACCACCGGAACCAACCGTGTGTGCACAGGGGAGTTTTAATGACCCTATTTGCACACATTTTACCATGAAAAGCCAATGTTTTTAAGACGTGAATTGTGATGGAGTGTCCAGAGAAGTCAAAGAGAGTCCCTCCTGCCTGTGTTCGCAGGACCCATCACGGCCTCCCGGGCCAGGGGCTGGCCGGCCGATGTCTTAGGGGTGGTTACGGCGGGAGGGGTCCGAGAGCAAGCTGGGGTGGGTGTGAGGTGGCCCATGGACCCTCCGAGGAGGAGCGGCTGAGCTTAGCGAATTCCGAGATGCTCAGCTGACCATCACTGTGTCAGAGGGTCGTGGTGATTCAAGTGTAAACATACTCTTTTTATTTTATTTTAATATATTTTATTGATTTTTTACAGAGAGGAAGGGAGAGGGAGAGAGAGTTAGAAAACATCGTTGAGAGAGAATCATCGATCAGCTGCCTCTTGCACACCCCCTACTGGGGGTGTGCCCGCAACCAAGGTACATGCCCTTGACCGGAATCGAACCTGGGACCCTTCTGTCCGCAGGCCGACGCTCTGTCCACTGAGCCAAACTGGTCCCAGCTGTAAACATACTCTTAACCTCAATCGCCTCTGAAGTCAGTCTCATTTCATCGAGATTAAAAATAAGGGCAGCTGTACATGCTGAGGAAAAGGTTTGGAAAACTTCTGCAAGTTTAGAATAAACCTATGAAAATATTTTATCAGATCGTTTTGAAAAAAAATTTTTTTAATATATTTTATTGATTTTTTTACAGAGAGGAAGGGAGAGGGAGAGAGAGTTAGAAACGTTGATCAGCTGCCTCCTGCACACCTCCCGTGTGCCCGCAACCAAGGTCCATGCCCTTGACCGGAATCGAACCCGGGACCCTTCAGTCCGCAGGCCAACGCTCTATCCACTGAGCCACACCGGTTTTGGCTGTTTTAAAACTTGATAGGAACTTGACCGGCATGGATTTTTCACATTTTGTTGTGAGAAATGCCAAGAATGCCAGGGATGTATAGCCTTACCCAATTCATCACCTGGCATGGAGACAGACAGTAGAGACTCCTGCCCCTCAGGTCTCGGCAGACACCCCCTCCTCCACAGGCCTGACCACACCTCAGCAATAATGGAGCTGCTTAAACATATGCCCGCCCGCCTAGGCTGCACCAAGAGCTGACGGACCGTTTTTAGCTTAAAATCTTAGTTTCCCTCTACGGAGTTTTCTTCCCACAGTGGGATTATTGCCCCGCTCTGCAAGTGAATAATTGTCAGGCTTCTTACTTGGTAAAGTGATTTGGTTTATGCAACATGGCTAAGGTGACCAGACGCCCCGCTTTGGGCAGGACAGTCCCGATTTTTAACAATTTGTCCCGCAGGAATCTTTCAAAAAATCGGGACTTTTTAAAAACGCTGCAGGACTCGGGACAACTTGTTAAAAATCAGGACATCTGGTCACGTTAAACATGGGAGGTCTTTCGTTAGCAGGAACCACAGTCCCAGGCAGAGGGTCTTGGCAGTTTGCCGGGGAGGGCGGCCTGTCATTGGGCCGAGGAGCGGGAGGAGCAGAGGGGACAGAGAGGCCAGCCCCGAGGACGAAGCAGGCACTCAGACTCGGCCCTCACACAGACCTGCTCGGGTCCGACTGGTTTTCAGGATTCCTGCGGTTTTTCTTGTCTAATATCACCCCTTGCTTTTATTTGTAGGCGTGATAGTTCACGTGTTTTCGAGTTTAAGATAACATTAAAGGAGGAGCAATGTTATTTTGTTTGGAAAAGTGTCAAATGGCAGAAGGATCTCGATCTGCACTTGACCTTGGCCGCAAGGCGAGACTCGGTGACGGGTCTTGATCAAAGAGAGCAGCTCTGGCCTGGAGGGGAGCAGGGTGGGGACGTCTGACCGTGACCACAACTGCTCACGGAAACGGATAGAGGGGAGCGTGTGGGGGGGGAAGCCTCGCTGTCTGGATGGCGGCAGCGACATTGCTCATCGTACCTTCTAGGAAGTGGGGTCTCCGTCCCCTCCTGTCCCCTCCCCGGGGTAGGGAGGCTGAGTTCTTGCTCCCTGAGAGCTGAGGGTCTGTCAGTACCTATCCCCAGGCTGCAGAGGGCGCTGGCACTAGATCCGAGTGACCCGAGCCTGTGACCCTGCCCGCTGTGTGTTCCCGCTGACCTCGTCTTCACACGTGTGCGTGTCTCCTTAGCCATGTACGCCCAGACTAGGGAGGCAAGCTGAACCCAGAGAACTGTGTGTGATGCCTCTTTTCTTTCAGGTACGTGCTGGGTGGTGGCGCGTTATGTATGGAACTCCTCACAAAACAGGTGACTTTTCTTTTTTTGTTAATCCTCACCCGAGGGTATTTTTTGCATTGATTTTTAGAGAGTGGAAGGGAGTGAGGGAAGGGGGGGTGTGAGAGAGAGACATCGATGTGAGAGACGCGTTGATCGGTTGCCTGCTGCACACGCCCATGTCGATGAGAGAGAAACATCCATCAGCTGCCTCCTGCACACCCCCTACTGAGGATGTGCCCACAACCAAGGTACATGCCCTTGACCGGAATCGAACCCAGGACCTTTCAGTCCGCAGACCGATGCTCTACCACTGAGCCACACCGGCTTTGGGCAAAGCAGCCTCTTTTAATGGTGAAAAAGCTATGCAACATAAGTCATAACATAACATTGTGCTTGGCTGTCTCGTCTCTGCTAAGACAGGAAGTGAGTTACGTTTAAGGGTATCATTTGCTCATGTTGGGCATTTAACCGGGCTTTTTCTCGCATGTGTGTGAGATTTTAAATATTTTTTTAATTGATTTTTTTACAGAGAGGAAGGGAGAGGGATAGAGTTAGAAACATCGGTGAGAGAGAAACATCAGTGAGAGAGAAACATCGATCAGCTAGGTGCCTCCTGCTCGCCTCCTACCAGGGATGTGCCCGCAACCAAGGCTCATGCCCTTGGCCAGGATCTAACCTGGGACCCTCAGTCCGCAGGCCGATGCTCTAACCACTGAACCACACTGGCCAGGGAAGAGCTTTTAGCAGAGGCTCAGCTTTTCTTTCACTCACAGACACTCAGTGCTCCTCTGGTGCTGAGTGCTGCCTGGGTGCAGCGGCTCTCCCACGCCTTCAGCGACGCTTTCCTCCCGCAGGGCTGGAGCAGCGCCTACTCCATCGAGTCTGTCATCATGCAGATCAACGCCACCCTCGTCAAAGGCAAAGCCAGGGTGCAGTTCGGAGCCAATAAGGTACTTTCCCTGACGTCACATCGCTGTGTCCCCCGCTCTCCCGGCATCCGAGGCGTCCCTGTTCCTCTCGTCTTTGTCGTTTTACTGTCGGTAAACATGCCTGGCTTTAATGTGTTACTGGAATGCATACACTCGTAAGTAAAAGATTATGTGTACTTTGAAGTTTATAATAGTTAATTCCCAGAGAGCCTTTCCATGCTAAGCTCTGATCTAGACTTTTTTATTTTTTGTTGATTTCAGAGAGGAAGGGAGAGGGAGAGAGAAACATCAATGAGAGAGAAACATCCTCTCTAAAAAAAATCAATTAAAAAATATTTTTTAAAAATCTCACACTTCAATGATGAGAGAGAATCATGGGTCGGCCGCCTTCTGCACGCCCCACAATGGGGATTAAGCCTGCAACCTGGGCCTGTGCCCTCGACCTGAATTGAACCTGGGACCCTTCAGTCTGCAGTCCAATGCACTGTCCACTGAGCCACATCAGCCAGGGCATGCTTTATAGGTTTGTTAGCAAATAAATAAAACCATTTGCATAGAATGCCATCAAGAGGCTAAGAAATGTTCGCCTGTTAAAGTCTGTCTTGGCGGGTACATTTTTAAAATGAATTGTTATGATGAGACCTTAAACTTCCATTATTTTTCTCGAGAAATGCTTATCAGCTAAGAATGTGGAAACTTTTCACGATACAAGTTTTACCTTCCCTGGTTCTAAGTCAGCAGGGACAGTCTGTTAGCTTTAAAAAGGCTAGGTGCTGAGTAGTATTTAAAGATATGCTGCCGTGTGTGTGGGGGGGGGGGGGGGGAGGAAAGGGGAGGGGGTCCGGGGGACTATAGTATATAGAGAATGGAGTATAGAGAGTGTTCAGGAAGTGCTGACAGCTGCTCTTTCTAATAAGGAGATATTGAAATGGGGAGGTTAGAGATGGGAGGGAGATTATATTTACTATAAATTAATTCATAACCAAGGAATAACTGGTACCATACAGATCATACATGTTAAATATGTTCCAACTAAGGTTAGAAGACAATAATGAAAAGACAAATTCCAACCTACATAAATCTGGAAATTAAACACTTTAAGTCATGGTTTGTAAAAAGTCATATGGAGATTTAAAAATACTTGGAACAGCCGAAACCGGTGTGTCCCAGTGGATAGAGCGTCGGTCTGCAGACTAAAAGGTTCCCAGGCTCGATTCCGGTCAAGGGCATGTACCTTGGTTGAGATGGGGTGTGCAGGAGGCAGCTGGTCGATGTTTCTCTCTCATCAATGTTTCTGGCTCTATCCCTGCCGCTGGCTCCTTCGCTCCTTCCTCTCTGTAAAAATATCAATAAAATATATTTTAAAATAATAAATAAATAAATAAATAAATAAATAAATAAAAATACTTGGAACTGAACTCTCCTCCTACCCCCACCTTCCTCCCTGTCTCCTCCCCCCACCCAAATGGTTGGAGGATCGGTAGGAAGGAGAGTTTCACGTTTTTATGCATTATTTTGTTCGGTGCTACTCAGGGGCATTCTTTAGGTTTTAAACTCTGAATGTCACTTGTATGTGTAGTCCTTAAAGCTCAGCATTTTCTTTCTTTCTTTTTAAAAAAATATATTTTATTGATTTTTTTTTTTTTTACAGAGAGGAAGAGAGAGGGATAGAGAGTCAGAAACATCGATGAGAGAGAAACATCTATCAGCTGCCTCCTGCACACCCCCCACTGGGGATGTGCCCGCAACCAAGATCCATGCCCTTGACCGGAATCGAACCTGGGACCTTTCAGTCCGCAGACCGACGCTCTACCACTGAGCCAAACCGGTTTCAGCAGGGCAATGTTTTCTTGTCTGGGGTAATAGATTAGCATTTGTTTTGGATGCAGTTTAAGAGGAAAGAGTTTGGGTTCTACTTAGGTCCCTAGCCTCCTGTAACTCACACGTGTGTGGTGTGGTGGGCACATGGGCACTACAGGGTGTGTACTGTGCAGTGGTCACAGGACTTACACATAACTGCGAGGAGTGTACATTTCTGTTGGATACACCTGCATCTGTTATTCTTCTAAAATGATAATGAACAGGCCAAAATCGGTTTGGCTTAGTGGATAGAGCATCAGCCTGTGGTCTGAACTGTCCCAGGTTTGATTCTGGTCAAGGGCATGTACCTTGGTTGCGGGCACATCCCCAGAAGGGGGTGTGCAGGAGGCAGCTGGTAGATGATTCTCTCTCATAGATGTTTCTAACTCTCTATCCCTCTCTTTAAAAAAACAATAAAATATATTTTTAAAAAATAATAATAAAATAAAACGATAAGGAACAATGAACTTCAGCCGGGCGGGCGTTCAGTTAAAAATCGTTTTGAAATGGAAATATAATTGGTTCCTGTGTTCTTTTAAGCACAGGGTGACACATCTATAAATTATGTGCCATGATTTTCATCTGCTTACAGTCTTGATTGAAAATGTATAATTCTCTTTCAGAATCAATATAACCTAGCAAGAGCTCAACAGTCTTATAATTCCATCGTACAGATACACGAGAAGAACGGTACGTTTCATTCCACACGCACTGACTGCCGTGTGTGCCCCATCCTGTGCAGTGGCTGTGTGTCCTGTTCAGTGTTGGTTTTGCTTTAGTATCTTGTAAAGTACATGTAACCCCTGAGAACATGTAACCTGGGGACCCACCCCCTGGGCTCCTCCCAGTCCTGGTTCCTGGAGACGCGGCCTGAGAGCCCGATCAGAGTCCCTTCCTGAGTCTAGGAGGGATGGTCTCTGACTCCTCAGCGGTGGGCGGTGTCACACGGAGCTGAGTGTTCACAGGGCGGGGCCTGTGCAAGTGCAGGTCCTGCTAACGGTGACAGGTCACCAGGCCGGGGCCCGCCTCTCCGATGGCGGTGCCCCTCGCCGATCATGCCCGCTTCCATTCACGCTAACCCAATGTTCGTCTCCCTCAACCTCTGGCCTCACCTCACTTGGCTGCATTCTCCGCACGGGGTGGGTCTTGTCTCTGACGGGATCAGACCTGTGTCACTGCCGCCCGCACCCTCTGAGCTCTCAGCCTTGCACAGGCTGTGGCCGCTCCGCAGGCTCCTGGCCTGCTGGCACGCCGTCTGTCTGGCGAGCAGTGTGCGCAGCCTTCGCAGCGCAGTGGTGGGGCGGTGGTTCTGGGTGCGAGGAAGCTGCTGAGACACACGCAGGTCCTTTTCTCCGACGGGGAGTGACAGCAAACCTCTGCCTGCTGGGGCCTGGGCCGGCTCGTGGCCTGAGCATCGTTTGTGCTATCACTTTAATGACAGCGGAAACTTGTCACTTGGCTGAGGGCTTGCTTCTGGGAGGCTGGGTCTGGCACAGACCACGCCAAGGCGAGCCCACAGGCCCGGCCTGGCGCTCCTGCTGATGGGCGTCGCCCTCGGTGTGCGGAAGAGGCAGCCCTGGAGGCAGGGAAGGGAGGTGTGATCGAATCCAAACCTCTTTGGGTTCGGAAGCGGGACAAGCTCAGACTTGGGCAAGCCTGGGTTTCCTGGCTGACCTCTGACCTCTGCAGCCCCCCTGGGGTCTGCGTGGGGGGTGGGTCAGAACAGGCGGCGCCCTCGTTTGGCTTCTGCTCAAGGGTCTCAGGGTCCGTCGCTGGGTCCCTGCCGCTGGCTCCTTCGCTGCTGGTCGCAGCATCTCCTCCCCTGGCCCGGCCCGTGCCTCTGGTTCTGGTTCTGGTTCTGGTCTGGCCCAGGACTTTGTTGGGGTGAGTTGTTCTCGGGGTTCCTGAGAATCTCAGTGGGATCTGAACCGAGCTTGTGGTCCAGTGCCCACACTCACCTTCACAGAAGCGCCAGTGCATGGAGCTCGCATGTTGACACTCATGTGCAGTTTGCTCAGAAAATGACTGTGCAGCCGAAGCCGGAGTGGCTCGGTGGATGGAGCGTCGGCCTGCGGACTGAAGGGTCCCAGGTTCGATTCCGGTCAAGGGCATGTACCTTGGTTGCGGGCACATCCCCAATAGGAGGCGTGCAGGAGGTGGCTGATCAATAGTTCTCTCTCATCGATGTTTCTAACTCTCTATCCCTCTCTTCCTCTCTGTAAAAAAAATCAATAAAACATATTAAAAAAAAATGAAAGAAAGAAAGAAAGAAAATGACTGTGTGGACATCCCTGCTCACACTGGTTGGATCAGACGTGTTGACTTCACGGTGGTGTGAAGTGACGCGATTCGGAGGAACCACAGTTTGGGTTTGCATCCGGATCTTCCCGGGGCAGCGCTGTACGTGCGGGATGCTGTGGAGTCCCCCGCTGCTCGGTGCTCCCATGGCGGGCTCGGGCCCATCAGGCGCCCTGACCCTCCTGCCACCGGGGGCGTCTGTTGTAAACGTGGGAGATGCTGTGACCCACCCCAGAGTGAGCCCCGTTTCCGCAGGAGGTTTAAACTTGAATGTGACGACCGAGAAAGGGCTGGCTTAGTCCCCTGGCAGTTTAAGAACTGAAGTGCCCCCGTCTGTGTTTCAGGCTGGTACACCCCTCCGAAGGAAGACGGCTAAGCGGACGGACCGTCCCCGGCTCGGACCAACGTTGCTTTAAAGAACCTTCCCACGTGCAGACTAGCTTCGAGTGCCCATAACAGCAGCCCGACGACGTTAGCTGATAGACACTTAGTGGATAACCTGTCACTGGCACCGCATCCGTTCCAGCTCCTCATCGCTCCTTAGGAACCTCGGACTCGGCAGCGGGGCCTGGACTGTACGCTCCCTGACAAAAATGCACACACTGGCCGCCACTCATCATCTCTTTTCTTGGAAAACGGAATCTGTTAAGCAGGCAAGTCAGCACCGGGTTCCGGAGGTGCAGCTTCAGGGCGACGGCTCCGTCTGAGCGCGTGCGCTGTGAGGACTTGAGTGTATTGTTCCCTTAGAGCCAATAAAGGTTGTTTGGTGTTCCTATTGGTTTAGAAAATGTCAGGTCTTCTGCCTCGCAGCAGCCTTCTCCGCTTAGAACAAACCGCTCTATGGTGTTGCCAAAATGACAGAACACAGGCTCCGGGAATGTGACACTTATGGCCACGTGACGGCGGGGCCACCCCCACAGACATGCTTGTAACCGAAGGCACGGCGGGCCGTCAGCCCCTCGGCTGGCGTCCCGACCCCCGGGCCTCCGTCTTGCTGGCTGAGCCTGCTGTCGGTTCGGTCTGTCTGAGGGAGCTCCGCAGTAGAGATCTTAAAGTTAAAGTTATTTAAAATACTAAGTCATTTTACATTTCCATTTTATTAACGGGATGTTGCAATCGTTTGTAAACTAATAAACTTCTAAAATGATTGGCACACAGACAGAGTCCCTGAGCAAAAGCTGCACAGCTAAGGACAAAACAAACCCTCATTTGGAGACCTAAAATTTTTTGCTACAGTCCTAACAGTGGCTTTTCCTTAACGACTAATAAGGAACTCCACACATATTAGTTCTTTTCTAAAACCTGACTCGAATCAGTATATACACTCTCCATTCTCTTTGCCTTACCCGAACCAGTCCCGTTAGATCGGAAATAGGTTTTTTATATCCCCACGTTTGGTTTCAAAGTAAGGTCTAGCTATTAAGCACTTTTCAAACGAAATCCAGAAGCACATTTTCTGCACAAATCGCTTACAAAGTTCCGAAGTGTCTCCAGCCCTTGCTCCGAGAGGCAGTTTTTAACTTTGTAAGCGCCTGGGAGAGGTCCGCTCGCTCGGCAGCTGCATCATCGCGTGGGGGGCCGGGGGCGGGGTCCTGGTTCCTGCTCACGCGGTTACGTTCCATTGTGCTCCGTTCTGATACAGTGGCTCAGACAAGCGACAAGGAGGAATTCTTGAAAGCATTACAGTTCCTTAAACCTAAGGCTGAATCTTGAATACATTATTGAATTCTTGAAATATCCTGATGGCTAAGCAGATTGACAGCTGCACCTTTGGCATGCTTTGTTTTTATTTGGAGTTTTATTTTTCATTGCAGATTTATTTGGCAATGTACAGTAAATTTTGTAAACTTGCATCAAGTTTATGAATAAAGACTCATTTCAAAAAGAACTGTCTTCTGGCCTCCTTGGAGGGGCCCTTTGTCCGTTGTGTGCAGCTCCGTGGAGTAGGATCTGTGGGGTGAGGAGAGACTCGCGTGGGAGAGCAGGTGGGTTTGAGTGAGAAATCAGGAACGTTGTGTGCTGATGTGGTGTGCTCGGGTCTCAGCATCTCTTTTTTTAATTGATTTTTTTACAGAGAGGAAGAGAGAGGGACAGAGAGCTAGAAACATCGATGAGAGAGAAACATCCATCAGCTGCCTGCACACCCCCCACTGGGGATGTGCCCGCAACCAAGTTACATGCCCTTGCCCGGAATCGAAGCTGGGACCTTTCAGTCCGCAGGCTGACGCACTATCCACTGAGCCAAGCCAATTTCGGCTCCCTCCATATCTTCTCTCTCCCATACCCGTTCTTCAATGGAAACGTCCCGTGGCCGCCCGTGGTTCCCCGTGTCAGTCACCTGCTCCCCCTGTGTGGTCCCCGTGGCCTCCTCGCACGGAGGTTTTCTCTGTGTTGATGTCACCTGTGGACTGAAAGTTATGGGTGGTCGTGCCTTCGTGCTACTGCGGCCTGAGGCAGCGTCCTGTCTCCAGGGGCATCTTCCGGTGACCCCGCCCCCTGCCCCCACTCAGTGCCTTCCCCTTCCTGGCTCTTCTTGGACCCATGGTTCTCAGCATGTCATTTGGGGAACCCTGTGAGGACCTTTTAGGAGGTTTTGAAGGTCAAAGGATATCCTATAGGATAAAAGCCTAATAACAACTGGTCGCTATGATGCACACTGACCACCAGGGGGCAGATGCTCAATGCAGGAGCTGCCCCCAGCCCGGGGCCCCCAGGACAGCCAAGGTGGGTGCCCGCCAATCAGCAGCGGTGAGGGGGCGGGACTAGCGAGTGGGTGTTGCTAGACTGGCCAAGGCGGGTGCCAGTGGGGGCGCCCCAATTACCCTGCGTGCGGGCGGGGGGACTGAGGTGCAGGGGGGATGAGGTGCGGGCGGGGGATGAGGTGCTGGCCTGGGACCGAGGTGCAGGGGGGATGAGGTGCGGGCGGGGGATGAGGTTCAGGGGAGGGACCGAGGTGCGGGCGGGGAACCGAGGTGCAGGGATGAGGTGCGGGGGGGGGGGGGGGGGGCGAGGTGCAGTCGGGGGACCGAGGTGCAGGGATGAGGTGCGGGCGGGGGGGGGGGGCCGAGGTGCAGTCGGGGGACCGAGGTGCAGGGATGAGGTGCGGGCGGGGGGGGGGGGGGGCCGAGGTGCAGTCGGGGGACCGAGGTGCAGGGGGGATGAGGTGCGGGCGGGGGATGAGGTTCAGGTGAGGGACCGAGGTGCGGGCGGGGAATGAAGTGCGGGCTGGGGGGACTGAGGTGCGGGCTGGGGGTGGTGAGGTGCAGGGATGAGGTGCGGGCGGGGGGGCCTAGGTGCAGGCGGGGGACCGAGGTGCAGGGATGAGGTGCGGGCGGGGGGACCGTGGTGCGGACGGCGGTCCAGCCGGGCCACGCGGGAGGGCGGCTTCTAAGCAGACGCCGCCCGTGGGAAGCGGGGCTTGCGGTGCCAACAGACTCTGCGGGGTGTGGGGTGCGGCGGGAGGCGGCGGAGGCTTTGCTGCGCCTGCGGGACTGACAGCTGGAGGACCCGTCCCCCGGATCCAGCGGAAGCCCGCCGCCGGAAGTCCCGCCCCATCCGGAAGTGGCGGGCGCCTGCGCAGTGCGCGCCGGCCGGAGCCGGAGCCGGAGCTGGAGCGGCTTCCTGACCCCTCGGCGCAGCGGCCGCGCCGCGGGAGCCTGCGGGCGGGATGGAGCCGGCGGGCGGCGGCGGCGGGGGCTTCCCCGCGGACCCCCCGGGCGCCTTCGTGCTGAGCAACCTGGCGGAGGTGGTGGAGCGGGTGCTCTCCTTCCTGCCCGCCCGGGCGCTGCTGCGGGCGGCCGGGTGAGCGGCCGGCGGGGCGGGCGGGCGGAGGCGGGAAGGACGCCCGGGGGCTCCGCTCACCGCCTTCCTGGTCGCCCGCAGCGTCTGCCGCCTGTGGAGGGAGAGCGTGCGCCGGGTGCTGCGAGCCCAGCGCGGGGTGGCCTGGATCTCGGCGGGCCCGGCGGACGCGGGTCCCCCGCAGGAGCACTGCCTGGTCCGCGCGGCGGCCGCGGAGCTGCAGGCGAGTGTGGGACACGGGGGCGGGGTTGCACGCCCGGTGCAGGGGGTGCGGGGGTTGCATGCCCGGTGTAGGGGGCGCGGGGTTGCACGCCCGGTGCAGGGGGCGCGGGGGTTGCTCCCCCGGTGCAGGGGGGAGTGGTTGGGGTTGCTCCCCCGGTGCAGGGGGGAGTGGCGGAGGTTGCACTCCCGGTACAGGGGGCGCAGGGGTTGCTCCCCCGGTGCAGGGGGGAGTGGCGGGGGTTGCACACCCGGTGCATTGGGGGGTGGGGGGGGAGGTTGCACACCCGGTGCGGGTGCGGGTGCTGGGCCGGTCTGTGAGTGCGGACTCTGGTTGTACCCCAGTTCCTCTCTCACGGGGCTGTGTTTTAGAGTTTGGGGACCATTTGCTGGTGACACTTTGAAGCCTCGGGTTTGATGATCGCGTCTCCCGAGCCGGGGCCCGGGTTTCTCTGGGCCCTTCGCTCACACGCGTTGGGGCGCCGTCCGCACCCAGAGCTTTGCTGCGGGTCTCAGGCGGCGGGACCCTCTCCTTCCCCGGCTCCCCGTACCCCCCCTCCCTGTTGGTGCAGAAAAGGCAGCGGAGACAAAGCCCAGAGCTCGTCTGAAACCCACACATTTCCTGAAGCCCTGGCCCATTTGGGCCCCGATTTCCAATGATGGGCGGCACCTGGGCAGGAGACAGGAGGCTGCGGGCGGGAGGGGCGGGGAGGAGCTGTCGGAGGGGGATGGCTCCGCTCCCCTTGTACTTCCTGCGTGCTCCCCGCAAACCAGACCTTGCACGACCACCATCAGGGTCAGGGTCAGGGTGTGCGGCTGACACACTCACACCGTCTCAACCTCTCACCCTTGTCTTCCGTGTCCCGTTTCCCCACTTCCCAGGGCCGCCCTTCAACGCCAAAGGACTCCGTTTAGAGTTTTATGTTGCGTTTATTTGTCCAGGTTCTTTTATTTATTTTTTTTTAAATATATATTTTATTGATTTTGTACAGAGAGGAAGGGAGAGAGACAGAGAGTTAGAAACATCGATGAGAGTCATCGACCAGCTGCCTCTTGCACACCCCCTACTGGGGATATGCCCGCAACCAAGGTCCATGCCCTTGACTGGAATCGAACCCGGGACCCTTCAGTCCCCAAGCCGATGCTCTATCCATTGAGCCAAACCGGTCCCGGTTTGTCCAGGTTCTTTTAAAAAATATATATTTTTATTGATTTTTTACAGAGAGGAAGGAAGAGGGATAGAGAGTCAGAAACACGGATGAGAGAGAATCATCGTTCAGCTGCCTCTTGCACACACCCCCTTGGGGATGTGCCTGCAACCAAGGTCCTTGACCAGAATCGAACCTGGGACCTTTCAGTCCGCAGGCCGACGCTCTATCCACTGAGCCAAACCGGTTTCAGCATCCTAATTCTTTAAAAAAAAAAAAAAATACATATATATATATATATTTATTTTTTTTTATTTTTTTTTAAATAATTTCAGGAGGAAGGGAGAGGGGTAAGGGAATCATGGATGGTCTGCAGCCTGCTTACCCCACCCACTGGGGATGGAGCCCGCCACCCAGGCCTGTGCCCCCACCCGGATGGAACCCTGACCTCCTGGTTCCTAGGCCGATGCGCAACCACTGAGCCACACCGGCAGGGCCTGTCCTGATTCGTGATTCTTTGTCCTGGAACCTTTTCTCCAAGCTTCTCCTGGACTTTCACAGCTCAGACCCATGTACGAGGCAGGCCGGTCATGTTGTAAAGCTTCCCATGTTGGTTAGGTTGGCATTGTGTATCATTGGCTGATGCTGGCCTGCCATCGTTGCTGACATTATCTTTTATTTTTTTTATTTTTATTTATTTATTTTTTTAGTAACATGGTGTCCGCCAGATGTTGCTACTATAAACTTAACTTCTTCCCACCAAAGTGTTTGGTGGGGAGATACTTTGAACCTATATGTTTATGTCTTGTTTCAAAGTATTCATTTATTTATGTCTATATAGATTCTTAGTCCCCCCTTTTTTTTAATTCTCTACAGATAAGACACGTGATTTTATTGACTTTTTTTAAAAAATATATTTTATTGATTTTTTACAGAGGAAGGGAGATGGAGAGAGAGTTAGAAACGTCGATGAGAGAGAAACATCGATCAGCTGCCTCTTGCACACCCCACACCGGGATGTGCCCGCAGCCAATGTACATGCCCTTGACCGGAATCGAACCTGGGATCCTTCAGTCCACAGACCAACGCTCCACCACTGAGCCAAACCGGCTTCGGCTCTTAGTCCCTTTTATTCGGTGGCACTTGGGGGAGCCCTAGCCTGTGTGGCTCAGTGGATAGAGCGTCGGCCTGCAGACTGAAAGGTCCTGGGTTCGAATCCGGTCAAGGGCCACCCTTGGGTTGCAGGCTCCATCCCCAGCGGGGGGCATGCAGGAGGCCCATCAATGATTCTCTCTCCTCATTGATGTTTCTTTTTTTAAAATATATTTTATTGATTTTTTTTTTTACAGAGAGGAAGGGAGAGGGATAGAGAGTCAGAAACACTGATGAGAGAGAAACATCCATCAGCTGCCTCCTGCACGCCTCCTACTGAGGATGTGCCCGCAACCAAGGTCCATGCCCTTGACCTGAATCGAGCCCGGGACCCTTCAGTCCGCAGGCTGATGCTCTATCCACTGAGCAACACCAGCCAGGGCTCATTGATGTTTCTATCTCTCCCTTCTCTGAAATCAATAAAAACATATTTTAGCCGAAACCGGTTTGGCTCAGTGGATATAGTGTCGGCCTGCGGACTGGAAGGTCCCAGGTTCAAATCCGGTCAAGGGCACGTGCCCTGGTTGCAGGCACTTCCCTGGTGGGGGGTGGGCAGGAGGCAGCTGGTCAGTGTTTCTCATCGATGTTTCTCTCTATCCCTCTCTCTTTCTCTCTGTAAAAAATCAATAAAATATATATTTTTTAAAAATGTATTTTACATGAACAATAAACTATCTGTTGGGGGAAACCATCTTAAACCAAGTGGGAAAGGAACCAGCTGCAGAGAATCTACCGGGAAGTGTGTGTGTGTGTGTGTGTGTGTGTGTGTGTGTGTCTGGGCGGTCGGAAGCACAGTGGAGCTGCTGTGCAGGAAGTGAGGGCCTGGGATGTTTAAGAGTGTGACACTTGCCGAGCAGCTTCTGGACTGCAGTGCCTGTTCTTGTGGGATCCCTTAACACGACCCGCGTGATGAGGGCCCACTCAGGGTCCGGCTTCTGGAGGAGGCCACCCACTAAAATGAAGAGAGAGACTAGAAAAGAGTTCATTTGGGACAAATGGGGGGCCAGGCGGGAGTCCACCTCCAGTGGGCAGACTCTCCAGGCTCTGGCCTTGCTGTCCCTTTTATTGAGGCTGCTGTGGGATACACCCAGTACCCTGAAGCAGCGTTGGGAAACACCCACAGCCCTCAGGCAGGTAATAAGCGGATTATCATACCAGTAAGGACTGACAGGATTACAAGATGGGGAAGTTGCCTCAGTTACTATTGTCTCCATTCGATAGGGTGCGGTTGGCTCTGAGCTTTCAGAGCTTCAAGGTTGACCAGCCTCTATTAGTGGAACCACGATTGGTTTCCCGCATGTTCTGATAGAGCAAGTGGCCTTTGGTGTCTTTCTCTGTTTTTGTTTTGTTTTTTTTTGGGTTTTGTTTTTTTTGCTGGTACTTCATGGTTTTGTTTCAGTCACCACGAGAATGAACCTCTTGAGCGAGTCGGGGACAGAGTCTGCTCGGAAGAAATAATCGATGTTTTCACCAATCACCGAACTGAAAAATGCAAGAGCATGAGTGAAAAACGAATGAGAAGCGGAGGGACTCAGAATGCCAGCGTTGTCCGATCAGAGGGGGGGTTGGGGGGGGGCGCGCGCGAGCGGGGTGAGGGCGGTGGGGGTGAGGCTTGAAGTGTTTAACCACGGAAGCACCCCTCGCTTCCTGCGCTCTAATCCCGGTTCCCGTCCTCCCCGCAGAACGTGCACATCCTGCCGCAGACCGTGCTCTACATGGCCGACTCGGACACCTTCATCAGCCTGGAGGAGTGTCGGGGTCACAAGCGAGGTGACCGTCCAAACTCAGTCTTGCGGGTGCTTGTCTCCTTAGGTGTGTTCGTTCTTTTTTTTTTTTCTTTTTAATATATTTTATTGATTTTTTACAGAGAGGAAGGGAGAGGGATAGAGTGTTAGAAACATCAGTGAGAGAGAGTCATCGATCAGCTGTCTCCTGCACACCCCCCACTGGGGATGTTCCCGCAACCAAGGTCCATGCCCTTGACCGGAATCGAACCTGGGACCCTTGAGTCCGCAGGCCGACGCTCTATCCACTGAGCCAAACCAGTTTATTTTTTTATTTATTTGTGTTTTTTTTAAAATATATTTTTATTGAATTTTTACAGAGAGGAAGAAAGAGGGATAGAGAGCTAGAAACATCGATGAGAGAGAATCATTGATCAGCTGCCTCTTGCACACCCCCTACTGGGGATGTGCCCACAACCAAGGTACATGCCCCTGACCGGAATCGAACCCGGGACCTTTCAGTCCACAGGCCGACGCTCTATCCACTGCGCCAAACCGGTTTTGGCATTTTTTTTTTTTTTTATATTTTTTTTTCCAGAGAAGAAGTGAGGAGAGAGATAGAAACATCCATGAGGAGAGAGAATCATGGACCAGCTGCCTCCTGCACGCCCCATGTGCCCTGACCGGGAATCGAACCCTGACCTCCTGGTTCCTAGGTCGACACTCAGCCGTGGAGTTTTGAGACTCACTTGCACCGCTTTCCGGCTTCAGCTTTATTCAGCGTTTGCCTTTCTCTCTCCCTCCGCGCCTCGGACGCAACCTCGAGTGATCTCGGGCGGGTGACCCTGCATGACCTTGGGCGGGTGACCTTGACCCCTTGTGCCCCGTGTTCCCGCAGCCAGGAAGCGAGCGACGATGGAGTCGGCCATCGCCCTGGAGAAGCTGTTCCCGAGGCAGTGCCAGGTGCTGGGGGTCGTGGCCCCCGGGATTGTCGGTGAGAGCAGTGCCCCCCGGGGGGCCCCCCACCTCATACCCCAGCGGGTCCGTCCTGGGCGCAGCTGGGACTGAAACACGTAGAAGGCGGCCCCACTCACCGGAGAGTCCTATCCGGCTTCTCTCACTGGGGTTCCTACGGCCCGGCTCAGGGCTGTCAGTATAAAACAGCTGTACTGCATGCCTTTCTTCTTCTTTTTTTAAGTGTATTTTTATTGATTTCAGAGAGGAAGGGAAGAGAGAGAGAGAGAGAGAGAGAGAGAGAGAGAGAGAGAGAGAGAGACACATCAGTGAGGAGAGGGAATCATGGGTCGGCTGCCTCCTGCACGCCCCCCACTGGGGATGGAGCCCGCCACCCGGGCCTGTGCCCTTGACCAGAATGGAACCCGGGACCCTGCAGTCCTCAGGCCGATGCTCTATCCACTGAGCTACACAGGCCAGAGCTCTTTTATCTTCTTCCTTTTTTCCTTTCTTCCTTCTTCCTTCCTTCATATTTTATTGCTTTTTTTACAGAGAGGAAGGGAGAGGGCTAGAGAGCTAGAAACATCGATGAGAGAGAAACATCCATCAGCTGCCTCCTGCACGCCCCCCCCCCCCCACTGGGGATGTGCCCGCAACCAAGGCACACGCCCTTGACCGGAATCTGAACCCGGGACCTTTCCAGTCCACGCAGGCTGACACTCTACCCACTGAGCCACACCGGTTTTGGCTGGGTCACCATTTAAGGACGTGTGGCAGCACCAGCCTGTTTCTTTGCAAACCATTTGCCAGGGCATCGAGCCCTCAGCACTCCGTGCCCCCCGGGCAGCAGGCTGAGCACGCTGGGGGTCGGGGGGGAGTGTGGCCCGGGCGCCTGGTGGCCGGCGGTCCGGGCGGGCTGGCCGCGCGCCGTTAGGAACACAATCCTCCGTGTTTATGGACCGCGGGCCAAACTGCTCCCCTTCCCCCCAGTGACCCCCATGGGCTCGGGGAGCCAGCGGCCGCAGGAGATAGAGATCGGGGAGTCCGGCTTTGCGCTGCTGTTCCCCCAGGTGGAAGGGATTAAAATACAGCCCTTCCGTTTCACCAAGAACCCAAAGAACCTGACGCTGGAAAGACGGCGCTTCACCGAAGCAGGTGAGTCGCAGCCCTCGCCGGCCCGGCCCCACCTCGGCCGAGGGCCCCGGAGAGAGTGGTGGGCAGGGCGGTCCCGGGGTGACCGAGGCTGGGGCGGTGCGTTCTGAGCTCTATTTATTCATTTTTATTTTTATTATTTTAAATATATTTTATTGATTTTCCACAGAGAGGAGGAGAGAGGGATAGAGAGCCAGAAACATCGATGAGAGAGAATCATCGATTAGCTGCCTCTTGCACACCCCCTACTGGGGATGTGCCCGCAGCCACGGTACATGCCCTTGACCGGAATCGAACCCGGGACCCTTCAGTCCGCAGGCCGACGCTCTACCACTGAGCCAAACCGGTCCCGGCTATTTATTCATTTTTAAATGTGTGTTTAACTGTTTTTTTAAAAATATATATTTTATTGATTTTTTTTTACAGAGAGGAAGGGAGAGGGAGAGAAAGAGAAACATCCATGACAAGAGAGAATCATGGATCGGCTGCCTCCTGCATGCTCCTTATTGGGAATGGAGCCCGCCACCCAGGCCTGTGCCCTGGCCGGGAATCGAACCCGGGACCCTTCATTCTGCAGGCCGGTGCTCTATCCTCTGAGCCACACTGGTCAGGGCCATAGATTATTTTTTTTAAATATATTTTTATTGATTTTTTTACTGAGAGGAATTGAGAGGGATAGTGAGTTAGAAACGTCGATGAGAGAGAAACATCGACCAGCCGCCTCCTGCACACCCCCCACTGGGGATGTGCCCGCAACCAAGGTACAAACCCTTGACCGGAATCGAACCTCAGACCCTTCAGTCCACAGGCAGATGCTCTATCCACTGAGCCACACCGGTTTCGGCTATTTATTTATTTTTAAATGCGTGTTTAACTTTTTCAAAATATATATCTTATTGATTTTTTACAGAAAGGAAGAGAGAGAGATAGAGAGTTAAAAAAACATCCATCAGCTGCCTCCTGCACGCCCCCCCACTGGCAATGTGCCCGCAACCAAGGTACGTGCCCTTGACCGGAATCGAACCCGGGACCCTTCATTCCGCAGGCCGACGCTCTGTCCACTGAGCCGCACCGGCCGGCGCCTCAGGTTTTTATTAAGAGGGAAACGCTGTTGCCCGCACGTTGAGTCGTGTCACAGTTTGTAGCCGGGGGGACCCTCGGCGGCTTCCCCAGCTGCACCCACGGGTGCGCGTCGTCACGGGGGGGGAGGGAGGGGGAGCAGGCGGCTGAGGGCGGGGCCCACGGAGCTTCCGCGGCGTCCGCAGGAGCCACTCACGGCCGCCCCCTCCCCGCAGGCCTCCTGGACAACCCCGAGCTGCGCGTGGTCCTGGTGTTCGGCTACAACTGCTGCAAGGTGGGCGCCAGCAGCTTCCTGCAGCGCGTGGTCCGCACCTTCAGCGACACCAACGTGGTGGTGGCCGGGGGCCAGGTGGACAACCTGGCGTCGCTGACCTCTGACACGTACGTCCCTCCGGCCGGCCGCCGCCCGGGCCCCCTCGGGTTCCCCACGGGTTCCCCGAGGGGCGGGGTGCGCGCTTGGGGTTCTGTGAAACCCCAAGTTGATATATGTTACAATATATATCAAATATGGAGAAGGAAGGAAGGAAGGAAAAGGAGGGAGGGAGGGAGGAAGGAAGGGAAGGAGGGAGGGAGGGAGGGACGGAGGGACGGAGGGAGGGAAGGACAGAAGGAAGGAAGGAAAGGAAAAAGGAGGGGCCGAAATCGGTGTGCCTCAATGGATAGAGCGTCGGCTTGGGGACTGAAGGGTCCCGGGTTCAATTCCGGTCAAGGGCATGTACCTTGGTTGCGGGCATATCCCCAGTAGGGGGTGTGCAAGAGGCAGCTGATCGATGACTCTATCTCATCAATGTTTCTAACTCTGTATCTCTCTCCCTTCCTCTCTGTACAAAATCAATAAAATATATTTTTTTTTAAAAAAAAAGGAGGGAGGGAAGAAGGGAAGAAGGGAGGGAAGGTTGGAGGGAGGAAGGGAAGGAGAAAGCCCTGGCCTGTGATAGAGCATCGGCCTGGTGCTTTTTTCCCCTTCTGCTTTATTGTTAGACACGCTGTACGAACACAAAACAGCAGGCAGCGGGGGTCCTCTTGGAAATGAGAAAAGAAAAAGCCCCTGGCTGGTGTGGTTCAGTGGGTAGAGCGTCAGTCTGAGGACTGAAGGGCCCTGAGTTTGATTCTGGCCAAGGGCACATGCCTGGGTGTCACTTTAAAAAAAAAAAAAAAAAATATATATATATATATATATATATATATATATATATATATATATATATATATATATATTTATATATATTTAAAGGAAGAGGAAGAGAGAGGGAGAGGGAGAGAGAAACATCCACGATGAGAGAGAAGCACGGGTCGGCTGCCTCCTGCACGCCCCACCCTGGGGATCGAGCCCACAACCTAGGCCTGTGCCCTGACCGGGAATCGAACTCAGGACCTTTCCACTGAGCCACCCCGGCCAGGCTGTTGTTTTTTGTTTGTTTGTTTTTAATATATTTTTTTAATTGATTTCAGAGAGGAAGGGAGAGAGAGGGAGAAGGAGAAACATCATGATGAAAAAAGCACTGATCAGCTGCCTCACCCTGGGGATCGAGCCCACAACCCAGACATGTGGGCTCCATACTATTATCGGCTAGAGATACTATTATACCTGTGTATATTTTATTGATTCCAGAGAGAAAGCGAGAGAGAAATTCAATGAGGAGAGAGAAGCACTGATCGGCTGCCTCCTGCACGCCTCCCACCGGGGATGGAGCCTGCAACCCGGGCCTGTGCCCTGAGCGGGAATCGAACCTGGGACCTTTCAGTCTGCAGGCTGAGGATGCTCTATCCACTGAGCCACGGCTAGAGATACTTTCATACCTGTGTATATTTTTTTGATTTCAGAGAGAGAAATTCAATGAGGAGAGAGAAGCACTGATCGGCTGCCTCCTGCACGCCCCCCACCGGGGATGGAGCCTGGAACCCGGGCCTGTGCCCTGAGCGGGAATCGAACCCCTGACCTCCTGGTTCCTAGGTGGGCACTCGGCCCCGGAGCCACGCAGGCCGGGCTGGCCTTGCCTGTTGGCACGTGCACGTTCTGAGTTTGGCGGTGACCGGTCCCTCCGTCTGCGTCCCCGCAGGTGCCCGGTGGACGTGGACGGCGCGGGCGTGGCGGGGCTGGCGCTGAGCGGCCAGCGCGTGCAGGGCGCCACGGTGCTGCTGGGCGAGGACGTGGGCGACGAGCGGGCGGCCGAGGCGGCCGTGCAGCGCCTCAAGGCGGCGGGCATCCCCGAGCGCCACACCGTGGGCTTCATGTTCGCCTGCGTGGGCCGCGGCGCCCAGTTCTACCGCGGCCGCGCCCACGTGGAGGCCGACGCGTTCCGCAAGGCCTTCCCCGGCGTGCCGCTCTTCGGCTTCTTCGGCAACGGCGAGATCGGCTGCGACCGCATCGTCGCCGGCCACTTCGCGCTGCGGCGCTGCGGCGAGGCCCGGGCCGAGGAGGACCTGTTCCACAGCTACACCACCGTGCTGGCGCTGGTGCACCTGGGCGCCGCCAAGTGAGGGCCCCCCGCACCTGCCTGCGGCCCCACACCCGCTGGGGCCTGCAGCACCCACCTGCCTGCAGCCCCCACACCTGCTGGGGCCTGCAGCACCCACCTGCCTGCAGCACCCACCTGCCTGCAGCACCCACCTGCCTGCAGCCCCCACACCTGCTGGGCCTGCAGCATCCATACCTGGGCTCGCCCCGCCCACATTGGCTGGGCTGGCCCCGCCCACACCTGGGCCCGCACCACCCACATTGGCTGGGGTGGGCCTGCCCCGCCCACATTGGCTGGGCCTGGGCTCGCCCCGTCCACATTGGCTGGGCCTGGGCCCGCCCCGCCCACACCTGCTGGGCTCGCCCAGCTCACACTTGGGCCCGCCCCGCACACCCCCCCGCAGGCCCCCCCGCGTTTCCCGGAACTTGGGAATATATGTCTTTTAAACAAAATGACTCTACATGTATCTGTTCTGTAGCCTGGATTCTCTAACAGGTTTCTCGGGATCTTTTTCTTCCTTTTTTTTTTTTTTCTTTTAAATATAAAATATATATAATTGATTTTTTACAGAGAGAAAGGGAGAGGGAGGGAGAGTTAAAAACATCGATGAGAAACATCGACCAGCTGCCTCCCACACCCTGCAACCAAGGTCCATGCCCTTGACCGGAATCGAACCTGGGACCCTTCAGTCTGCAGGCCGACGCTCTATCCACTGAGCCACACCGGTTTCGGCATCAGGGTCGTTTTCTAACCCAGTGGTCGGCAAACTCGGTTTGTCCACAGCGCCAAATTCCAACAGGACAAAGGTTGAAATTTCTTTGGAGAGCCAGGTTTTTTAAACTTAAACTTCTTCTAACGCCACTTCGGAATAGACTCACCCAGGCCGTGGGATTCTGTGGAAGAGCCACGCTCAAGGGGCCCCAAGAGCCGCACGCATGTGGCTCGTGAGCCGCGGTTTGCCGACCACTGTTCTAACCTGTGAGGAAGGAGGCTCCTGCGTCAGGCACAGACCCGCCCATCGATCCATCGATCGATCCATCGATCGTGGCGCTGGCCCAGGCCCCGTGCCTGCCATGCGTGTCATTGAACCAGATGCATAGGCGCCTGGACACGGGAAGGGTCCGGGACCGGATGGAGGGGAGTCCGTGGCTCCCCGTGCAGGCCCCGCGGGGTCGTGGAGCAGAATCGCGAAGACACTTTTCCCCCCGAATGAAGGAGGAAGCCGGGCGGGCGGTCGGCCTGAGAAATCCTTTCTCCGAGTTCCCCTCTGACCACATCGTTCAGAAGCGACCACAGGACTGACTGTCTACGCCTCTGATGATAAATACGAAAGAGTTATTTTGTCTTCCTGCTCCAGTTGCTCATCGCGATGAACAGTAGTGTTCTACTCTCCAATGAGGAGACGGTCAATAAATTTTTAACCTCTAAAAGGTTTTCCTCTTCCTGCTTACGTTTGCGATAAAAGTACCGGGTTTCCTTTGGTTGGTGGTTAGCTCATCTCACCTCCTGAGGATGAACTTTTCCAAAGAAAAGTTGGTCAGAACTGTCAGTCTCTGAATAGTGGTGAACATTTATAGTTCTGTAGCATCGGGGCCCTTTACCAAGGAGACAGGACCTGGGAGTTTGAGCCCTTGAGTGTGATTCCATAGCACATACAGAAAATACCGTGTGAATCTGTGTTCTGGGATATTCAGTACAGGAAAAGGAAGTTGAAAACTAGAAAAAAAATTTTTTTTTAAATATATTTTATTGATTTTTTTTACTGAGAGGAAGAGTGAGGGATAGAGAGTTAGAAACGTCGATGAGAGAGAGCCCTCAATCAGCTGCCTCTTGCGCACCCCCTACTGTGGATGTGCCCACAACCAAAGTACATGCCCTTGACCGGAATCGAACCCAGGACCCTTCTGTCTGCAGGCTGACGCTCTATCCACTGAGCTGCACCGGATTCAGCTATGAAGTTTTTTGTGTGAATGGGACAGAAAGCAGAGCCCACAAAAGCCCTAGATGACCAGCAAGTCCACGCTGAACAGGGTCTGTGGTTAGGGGTGCTGGGACTGTGGTCATGTGACATATAATGAAACCAGCGTTGCCATAGGCTACTTGTTCCCATGGCAACTCATCACCGTGGCAACAAAAAACGACACTGAGCGCTACAATGCTGCTTTCAACGCTACAATGTTGCTCTAAACGCTACAAGGTTACTCCTAGATCCGAGGACAAAAGTCATCACCGGAGGTCGCGTGGAGAGGGAGAGGACTCGCTCTGACCAAAGTTACAATGAAAGGGTGTGTCGAGATTGTGAAAGGCTGGTTTTAAGTAAAAGCAGTCATTACAGCCGAAACACATTTGGCTCAGTGGATAAGAGCGTCGGCCTGCGGGCTGGAAGGTCCCAGGTTCGATTCCAGTCAAGGGCATGTACCTTGGTTGCGGGCACATCCCTGGTAGGGAGTGTGCAAGAGGCAGCTGGTCGATGTTTCTCTCTCATCGATGTTTCTAACTCCCTTCCTCTGTAAAAGTCAATAAAACAAAATTAAAAAAGACATGTTCACTTCCGTATATAATATGTATTATATACAATATGTATATAATATGTATCAGAGGCCCGGTGCATGCATTCGTGCGTGGGTGGGGTCTGGCCAGCCAGGTCAGGGGGAGGGGACATGGGCGATTGGCCGACCTGCCTGCTGGTCGGACTCCTGGTCGAGGGGGCAATTTGCATATTAGCCTTTTATTCTATAGGATCTACGCCGAGTGGACAGATGATTGTGCGTTCAGAGATCATCATCATCTGGCCACTCAGTGTATTTCAGCCCCTTCCCAAGTGGAAGTGAAGTCCTGGGCACGTAGCAACCCTGAGAAGTAAAGGGAAGGCAGGCCTTTCCACCCAGATTGGGAAACAGACACCTGATCGTTGATGTGGGGATCATCTGGGACCTCTTCCCAGGAAGAGGGGCCCCCCTCTAGCGTGCCTGAGCCCAGATGCCTGGCAGACCCCCCGCCTTCTCAGCAAGCCAGAAGCCAGAGCGCAAAAGCTCTGTCATCTACACTCGTAAAAGAGTAACATGCTAATTGACCGTACTTCCACGACGCCCACCAGCCAATCAGGAATGAGTTTGCAAATGAACCTAACAAAGATGGCGGGTTAATTTGCATACATGGGCATGGAGCAGCTGGGGCGGGGCAGGGCAGGACGCTTGTGTTGTTACCATGGTGATAACACAGGAGTTCCGCACCACCCCGGCCGCTCTGGGCCTCTGGGCAGCGTGGGAAGGTGAAAAGGCAGCTCTGGCCAGAGTGAGGCGGCGCCTGCAGCCAGGGGAAGGAAGGCCCATTCTGGCATGAATCTTTGTGCGCCGGGCCTCTGGTTTATTAATATTGTGCACGTTCAACATAGTGACCGTTCAGAGCATGTAAATGAACTACAAATCCACGTAATAATTTTTTAGGAAAAATAAATCTACTTTTCACCTTACGCCTACCCTGTGCGACTGAGGCGAGCCCCAGCATACATCATGTGTTTGTGGAAACAGAGAAGCTTTTCTTGGTTGGAAACAGTGAGATTTTTGGACAACTAGCTTGATTTTCCAGTAAAGAGACTGGGCATGGGTCTGCTACATAAAAACCCTAAAATAGCACTGACCGGTGTGGCTCGGTGGATAGAGCGTTGGCATGTGGACGGAAGAGTTTCGGGTTCGATTCCGGTCAAGGGCATGGACCTTGGTTGTGGGCACATCCCCAGGTGGGGGGCGTGCAAGAGGCAGCTGATCGATGTTTCTCTCTCATCGATGTTTCTAACTCTCTATCCCTCTCTCTTCCTCTCTCTAAAAAATCAATAAAATATATATTTAAAAAATATATATATATATATATTTTTTTTAATTGATCTCAGAGAGGAAGGAAGAGGTAGAGAGAGAAACATCAATGATAAGAATCATGGAAGAAAAAAAAAAAAGGATCATGGATCGGCTGCCTCTTGCATCCCCTACTGGGGAGCGAGCTCGCAACCTAGGCATGTGCCCTTGACCAGAATTGAACCTGGTACCCTTCAATCCGCAGGCTGAGGTTCTGTCCACTGAGCCAAACCAGCCAGGGCCCATATTTTCATTATATGCACTGCCCCCCACCCCACAACAGGTCTCTCTTATCTCGTTCACACACACACACACACACTGTCTGTGCTGTGACGTCCAGGCGGTCCAGCCTAGCACCTCCAGGCAAGCCCGCACCATGTTCTACCCGCCGCTCAGAACATGGCAGAGTGGCGTCAGCGCCCCCTTCAGGTCACACAAGGAAGTGTCCCTGCCTTTCCTCGCCTTTTTTTATTTTCTCTTTTATCCAAAGTGCTAACAAGCCTGCGTAGTTCTTATTTTTTCCCCCTTCCAGATATTGAAAAAAGACAGTAGCGGGTGAGGGGAGAGGATTGCTGGAGCGAGTGAGTCTCTGCCATGAGACTAACAGATGGCGAGAGGACAGGAGACCAAATGGCACAACAACCAGAAGGACCAGCTGACGGGGCGCTATGACGCGCACTGACCACCAGTCCATGCAGGAGCTGTCCCCTGGTGATCAGTGCGCCCCACAGCGGGAGCAGCCGCTCAGAGGGCGGGTCCACGGCTGCTCAGCTGACCGAGATGAGTGGCATTCCCACCGTGGATCGATCCCTGCAGGCCGCGCCCCAATATACCTTGGTTGCGGGCACATCCCCCAATGGGGCGTGTGCAAGAGGCAGCTGATCGATGATTCTCTCTCATCGATGTTTCGGGCTCTCTATTCCTCTCTCTTCCTCTCTGTAAGAAATCAATAGAATAAAATTAAAAAATAGGTTTTCCACCCAAGAGAGGGGAAATTTTTAGTTTGGATATGTGCTGTGAAGAAGGACGCCACCAGGAGGCAGCACAGAGCTGACAAATTATACATGGTTGGGGATAATTTTTGATTTCTCATGACCACATAAAATGGTTGCACCTACATTTTTTTTTTTTAAACTCAGATTATGCACTTGAAAGGCACATGTTAGCATCT